AGGAAGAAAGCAAGGGGGTGGGGCTGTGTGTGTGTGGGGGGGCGTGTGTGCGTGTGCGTGTGTGTGTGTGTGTGTGTCTGTCTGTCTGTGGGGGGCGTGTGTGCATGCGTGTGTGTGTGTGTGCGTGTGTGTGTCTGTGTCTGTGGGGGCGTGTGTGTATATCTCTGTGTGTATATGTGTGTGTCTGTGTGTGTGCACCCTCACGTGTCTGTGTAAAGGTCATACAGAGCGGGACATTTTCCAGAAGGGAGTAGAGAACATGCCATGTCCAGCTCTGACGAGTGTACATGTGGCTTCATTCTACAGTCGGGATCTGCTAGTGACACGGTGGATGTGGCCCCTTTGTTCATATCAGCTCCTGTCTGGCATGGTGTTGGTTAGCTCCCAAATCAGCTTCTTCCCTCAGAATATTTTAGACCTTAACTGGCAGGTGCGTGTTTGATCATATGTTTTTCCCCTATCAAGAGTCTTGTGGAGCAAACAGGCTGTGGCGTGTCTTCGGTAGGGATACCGGCTTTAGAAAGAGAAAGCCTAGCGCATTGTTCTTACTGAAGTGTTGTTGGTTGAAGAGTGAGTGGCCATGCTCTCTCTGTTCAGTCTTGGCAGGACTGAATCAAGAGCATAAGTAGCCATTGAAGCATCTTACACCAAATATTATCGGCTTTCTGTTTGTCTGGCCTGTGGTAGGGTTACACTTCTTGGTGCCTGTTTGGTGTGCAGAGACCACGTCACTAGTTCTAGGGCCGTCTTTTTAACATCAGTTTTAGGGACCAAGCTTCTAGCACACCAGCCCTTGGAGACTCAGTTAGCCTTGGGCAAACCATAGCGTTGAATGGTGAAGGCGGACACTGAAGGGACTCTGTCAGTGTTGGAACTGCTCCTTGTGCTGGGCCCACACGCAGGCTCTGTGTGCTGACATGCCCCGCACCGCTGAGCCGCAGAACCGTCAGGTTTATTGTCTATCTGTTCTATCTACTCTTGTTTGACAGTCTGTGTAACCCAGCGCGGTAGAACTTGTCATGTATATACCAGGCTAGCCTTGAACCTGCAGCCGTCATGCTCCTGCCTCCTGAGTGCTGGGATTCCGCCGTGCCTTGGCTAGTTAGTCATGTGAGTGTGAGTGTGTGTAAATGTACGTGTGCACTCCCAGAGTGCAGCGGGGTGAGAGGAATCAATGCTGGGATCTGAACCCTGGCCCTCACTATTGAGTGGTGAGCTCTCTGAGCCACTGAGCCCCAGGTCCAGCTCTGCTCATGCCTTTCCTGTGGTGGTTCAGGGTTACCTAACACTGCCTTCGTTCATTCTGTAGGTTTTGACCTGCTCTTTCATTTTCCTGTTGTAAATGTTTCCTGATCCTCGATGGCTGAGTGTAATAGCCACAGACTTTGGAGTTCCCTGTCTCCTCCTGTAACAGGCGACAGTGGCTGCTGCTTCTCCTCCTCCTTTTTATTTATTTATTTATTTTCTTTTTTTGTTTTGTTTTGGTTGGTTAGTTAGCTGTTTGTTTGTTTCTGTGACAGGGTTTCTCCATGTATCCCTGGCTGCCCTGGAACTCACTCTATAGACCAGGCTGGCCTCAAACTCACAGAGATCCACCTGCCTCTGCCTCCCAAGTGCTGGGATTAAAGGTGTGCAGCACCCCTGCTTGGCCTGTAACAGGCTTCTATAATTTTATGCTATGTGATAGGAATGATTTTTTTGTGTGTAGTATCCCTCTTTTAAGGCCTTTTGAGGGCCTGGACAGATGGTGCAGCCATTAAGAGTGCTTGCTGCTCTTCCAGAGGTCCGTCCCGAGTTTGGTTCCCAGTGCCCACATGGCACCTCACAACCACCGGCAGCACCAGCTTCAAGGGAACTACATCTTCTCTTCTGGCCTCTGTGGGGACGTGTGTGTGTGTGTGTGTGTGTGTGTGTGTGTGTGTGTGTGTGTGTGTGTGTGTGTGAATCTTATTAAAAGATCTATTGAGATTTAGTTTGTGACCTAACATTCTCTTCAGATGACTGGGCAATAAACTTTTCAGGTTTTAAACTTGGAACATCTCTGGATTTTATTGTGGAAGTTTGAGATGAATGTGTAGTTTAGGTGTCCTCCTTAATGAGAATTATTACTTCTGAAATGGTGTCAGGAGCTGAATGGGAATGGGAGAGGTTATCATTTATGGAATATCGAACCAGTGACCTTAGCTATTCAGTTGTGATGAAAGGCCCAATCTAACCTTTATTGAATGTGATATTTATTAAAAATGAAACTTCTCATTTCCATTACTTAATCAATAATCCTCTGAGCCGTTTGTTAGTATGATTAAAGGTGGTGCTGTAGACCAGATTCCTGCTCCCCAGACACTTGCTTAATTTTTGTAAGTAGGAAACAACTTCTAACCCAGAGTCGCTCCTACCCATTTAGTCCTGTGCTGGTAACTTCTGTAAAGCACAAAAAAGAACACTGAAAAGTTTCAGGCCATAGATCCTCACACCCAGTCCCGGCACCGAGGGACCTAAAATAGGGTGACGCGTGTGAGAGTCACACCGAGGCCCGCCTACGCTACATGGTAAGACCCCGTTCCAACAGATGGCTCAGCAGGCAATGGTACCTGCCACACAGGCCTGACAACCTGAGTTTGGTTCCCTAGAACCCACATAAATGTGAAAGGAGAGAACAGCCCCACAGACTTGCCCCCTGACCCCTGCAGGTCACTGTGGCACCCACATGCTCACACACACCATTTATAGACACACTGTACACAATGCTTTTTTTTTTTTTACTTTTCAAATAAATACAGGCAGGGCCCAGAGTGACGGTTCAGTGATTAAGAATGCTTGCTTCTCTTTCAGAGAACCAGAATTCAGTTCCTAGTAACCATGTCAGATGGCTCACAACCATCTGTAACTCCAGCTCTGGGAGATCTGATCTGTCTTCTGGCCTCCATGGACACCCTTCCATACATGTACACACACACACACACACACACACACACACACACACACACACACACACACACACACACACACACAATCTTTAAGAAATACAAAATTTACAAGAAGAAACTATTATGTGACTACTACCTAAAAGAACAGCTCCCTTTAAGTCATAGCGTCAAGCTCTCAGAAGGACGTGTGTTTCATTCTCTTTGGTCTGTTGTAATTCAGATGCCAGGGTTTCATGCCTGTGATAGTGCAGCAACAAATGCCTTGTGTTGTTAGTATCATCAGGGAAAGATGGGAAGAAAGAAGCAAGAGAAGGCTCATCGATGGGACGCTGAGGTCTGAGCACAGTGGGTGGGTGGTGCAGGTCCACTTTGCCAGTGAGTGCCTGTTACCCACACCAGGTGGTGCCCCGCTAACCATCCCACTGCTGACGGGGGATCTGGAAATGCAGCTGATTGCTCTCTGATGGTATGCACTGCCAGGCTTGCTTGTGTAGCCAAAGGACGGTCTCGCCTCCAGGTTTCACAGGAAGGAAATAGGAAGCTTTTGCTGTGTGTCGGGCACCGTGTGAAAGCCCTTGCGGGATGTCTCACCGCATTTCACACCAGCCCTGAGAGGGAAAGCTGACGACAGAAAGCTGTCTTGCCCAGAATCAGAGCTTGGAAGTGGCATAGCCTGGGTCCAGACACAGGCCATTGGAGTCGTACGCCTGCCTTCTCAGCCACGGGAATAGGAAGGTCAGCATAGAGCTGCCCAGGGAATCAGAAGCAACCAGCAGGAGAGGCAGTCGGCTTCCCAGGGCTACCCCAGAGAGACGGTGGAGGAAGAGATAGTGAATGAAAGGCAGAGCCCTGCCTAGTCCTCAGCGGCAGGCAAGTGTTGGTCGGGCTTCCGAGGCCCCCCCCCCCTTTCTGTTGGAGCAGCTTATGGAACCTTCCACAGCTCCTGGTTGAGAGTGGCAGACAGCTGGCTCTGTGGCCTGAAGGACACGCCAGCCCTGTGCCCACTGCACACTTCCCAACACCTTGTCTCCCTCTGGGGTCGCCTCAGGCTCTGGGTTTTCACACCTGCCTGATGGCAAACGGGTAAAGCCACGCCTGATGTAAGGCTAACACACAGATCTGTTTCACATCTTTGTGGGTTGGAGGAAAAAAGAACAAGGAAAAGCTCAGTCCTGGAACGGAAAGGTTCACGTTAGCCCATAGAGAATGTCAGTGGCTTTCTGTCACCACCACTGAGGTCACTGTCTGTCCCTGACCTACATCCCAGTACCTGACACCAGCGCAGTCATCTGTGTGGCCCATTTCACCTAGATGGCTGATCTCTCCGGTCTCTTTTGCATGACATTGACAGTGACGACACGCAATGATTCCCTTGTGAAGATGGGGTGCCCCTTCAGCATCGCTAAACCAGACAGTGCCCCCAGAGCCGTGGAGGGCTCCTAAGGGGCTCCTGGTGACTGCCAGCCAAGAAGTATTCATGCTGGCCTCATCCTTCAGCCCAAGCCTGTGTCCCTACAGGTCTGTCAGGAAGGACCCTGTGTGCATTCCCCGTGTAACCCCTGGTGCTCCAAGCTAACGAGCATTTGCAGGTTCACATGTAGAGGCAGGTTAGGAGTGTGCATTGCGTTGCTTTGACAGCCTTGTCTTTGTCTTTCAAGGATTAGTATTTATTAAGCCCTCGCTGTCGAAGATGGGCTCTGCGGACACCGCCTGTGTCTGTGGCGTGTAGCTTTCTTTTCTCCCTCCTGCATGCCATCTGGCGTGGGTGACTTTCCTGTCTTGGGGTCAGGGGCAAGTGGGGGTCAGGTGTTCAGCATGGTGAGCCACCCTCATTCCCACGGATAGCAGGGTCTGCAACAAACACAGTTGCTATTGATGCACATAACCGAGCACTTTATTAACCATAGAAACAAAGCTTTATGGGGAAATAAAGCGTAACGGGTTATGTCCTGTGCAGAGGACAGGCACGGTGGAATGCGGCTGACAGACAGGTCCCCCCTTCAAGGCTGGCTCTGATACTGGCCATGTTTAGGTACCATTGATTGCCCTCTGATGGGATTTCTCTTTCTTTAGGCCTCTTCTGAAGAGCTGAAGGCTGCCTACCGGAGGCTGTGTATGCTGTACCACCCGGACAAGCACCGGGACCCGGAGCTCAAATCCCAAGCAGAGCGGCTGTTTAACCTTGTCCACCAGGCGTATGAAGGTTGGTGAGAGCTTGGCTCATGCTCACAGGCGTTCGATTTTTAAGCAACTTGATTTGTAGCAGATAGAGAGACGGAGTCTTCAGAGGTGTATAAAAGAGATGCTTGGCGTGGTACTTTGTACTGACAGAGCCCTTTGAAAGAGTCGTATTTTGCTTTGGAAATCAATATGTGTCCAGTAAGAAGAAATTGAGAGTCCAAATGAAGAGATGGGCCAGGTCTGAACAGGGGCAGCCTGAGCTCCAGCTGGTCCCCAGTGTCTGCTGGGGGCTGGGGTTAGGTGAGGGGGTGGGGGTCTGGCCCTTGCAAAGCCACTGCTTTGTTCTCCTTTTTTGTGAGAAGCTACAAGGATACAAGGACTTTTTTTTTTTAACTTAAGTGGTTGTATTGGTTTTGTATGAGTCTGTGAAAGAAAGCACTTAGAAGAGCTGGTGTACAAAGCCTGTGGGAAGTAGAGCCTGGTCATTCAGGAGCTCAGATTTATGGCTTACATATCAATGAAGACAACGGGATGTGTTTGTCTCTGTGAAGGTGGAAGTCTCTGGAAACAGTAATGGCTTCCTGATGCCAGGTGAGCTTTATGCTACCAAGTTGGGCATTTTAAAGTGATTGGAATGGTAAAGTGTTTTACCACCATTTAGAAAGCAAAAGCAAAAACCAGGGGGCGGGGGCTGGAGAGGTGGCTGGGTATTTAAGAGTGCTGACTGCTCTTCCAGGGGACCGGGTTCCAACAGCCATATGCCGGCTCACAACTGTCTGTGAACTCCAGTTTCAGGAGATTTGACACCCTCACAGAGACATGCAGGTACTAACATCAATGCACATAAAATAAAAATAAATAAGTTTTTGAAAAAGCACATACACACACAACAAAAGAAACCAGTTAAGTCACTCAGGATGTATAGATTAGGGGAAATCCGATGCTCATTGCAGACCCCTGTGATCTGCTCCTTAACCAGAAGCCAAAAGTTAGGTGCTATGCCTCTCTGTGAAGTCACAACACTTCCCTGCAGTCAGGGTAGCAGGTGGAGCACTTTACCTTGTTTTTACCAGGAAGTTACATTTTAATGACTGTGGCACTTGATAGATGGGAATGTGGGCAGTGTCACCCAGGGTGACTCGTCAGGCTGCGAGCTGTTGGTGGTGACGAAGGTCTTCTGGTTGTGAGGGGCCGCAGGACTGAGCCGCTGCTCCTCGCCGGCCTGTGCAGTTTAGGCAGGAGTTGCCTCCCTTTGGGTATTTTCTCATTAAATCGGTCAGCTCGGTGAGTCTGGCTCCTTGTTTTCCCGTGCTCAGCATTTCTTCTCCATTAGATTTGAATATGGATAGACTCATTTATGTCACTTTTTAATTAGGCCTAAAAATGTATGGGAACCTCAGAGGAGAAAATACGCAAAGATCCCCAGCAGAACTAGCTAGAAGTAGAGCAGGGGCAACCATCAGCCTCGTTCACGGTCACTCTGGGCCTCTGAGTAATTCTCTGCCTTGTTGAGGGGTCTTCTCACTAGGTGACATCACCAACAGTGTTGTGAAGGATAGTCATGAGTTTTTAAACACTTTTCAGAGCTGGGTGTTGTAGCTCTGTGGTCCCAGGACTTGGGAGGTAAAGGCAGGAGAATTGGGATGTCAGCTGTGTACTGAGTTTGAGCCTGGGCTACACGAGACCTAGATTACAGAAAGAGAAGTACAGCCAGGACGGAGGTCTTGGGGTTAGCAGTGCTCAGGTCTCGGCTGTCAGTACTGTGTGTGCAGACACTGCAGAGCAGAGCTTCAGAAAAGGCTGCCCTTGGGGTGTGGTCCCATGCTCCTGTCGGCCCAGCACTGGGCAGGTGGAAGCAGGAGAACCGGAAGGTTCTGGACATCCTCAGCTGTATAGTAAGACAAGGCCAGCCTCGTCTCAAAAAAACTAAACCCTGAGACTAAACAAAAGCGCTGTCCTTTAGAGCTGCCAGAGCAAGATGGACCCTGGAGAGGCCCAGCTTTCCCGTCTACAGCCTTGAAAAGAGAAAGTAAGGGAAGATGCAGCAAAAGCCATCCCCGGGAAGCCTGGCTAGGAAAGGAAGTCCCAGGACGACTTACCTTGTGACCTTGTACTCGGGGTTCTCAGGACTGAAGGGGAAGTCTGTGCCCTCTGAACATGTTGGACTGTTTTTCTTTCTTTCCCCAGTGCTTAGCGATCCGCAAACGAGGGCCATCTATGACATCTATGGGAAGAGAGGCCTGGAGATGGAAGGCTGGGAGGTAAGAGGAACTGAGTCTGAGGAGCTAGAAACAGGAGGGTCAGCACTACAGCTGCCCTCTGGGGGCCTGTGACGGGCCTCCTCGCTGAGCTCAGTGTGGCATCAGCGTGTTCCGCTCTACCCCGCCTGGTAGCAGAAGTGTGGCGAGACATGAAGCTGTGTAGAAAAATGAGCATGAAAGTTGGTTGTATTGAAGACCCCAGATTGCTACAGCATATGCATGTTGCTACTGAATTAATTTTATTGGAACGCTGGGTGCTCGTGCCCACAGGATGTTAGTGAGAGGTGTGCACGTGATGCCAGCTTCCTGTCTCCGTCCTGCAGAGCTCCCCTTGAAGTTCTTGTGCTGTGACTCCGTGCTGTGTCTGTCCCTTCTGACCCTGACATAAGGTCTGTCTAAGGCTTGAGGTGTGATGGGAAGAAAGCAGAACTGTCCCAGTGGGGCTCGTGGGCCACCTTCCACGTAGCCATGCTTGGATGGGCACAGCACGGTGAACTGTAGCTGCTACCACGTTAGCGGCGCTGGGCCTGAGTCCCCCGAGGTAGTTGCCAGCCCTGGGGAAACCCTGCTTTTGAACTAGGCCCGGTCACACTTTGCTCCATTCCCTGTGTTCCATATTGTCATTGGGCCCTTGTCCGCAGCGGGCTCTACATACCCTGCCCGGCTCCCATAGGTGTTTGATCGAGGGCCTCTAGCTTACTGGAAATCTCAGTAGTTCGTTATCACTTTGCACTGTTTACCCAAGTCCAGTTGTGTCCAGATTTTGTGCGCCACTGCAGTCAGGGTTAGTCGGGGCCACTGGCTAAGTAGCCCTCGTCACATACTAGGACTCTGGTTTCTGGCATTGTCTCAGCACTGGAGGGGCCGGATTCTCTGGCAAAGATAGGTGTCCCCGCTATTATTATACAAAGCCAGACTCAGCTGCAATTGTACAGGGTGTAGCCAGTCACAGGTGGTGAGTGGGTAAACTTGATGTGTGTAGTTTTAGGAAATGCAATTCTCAGGAAGTCTGTAAGGTGAACCAGGTGTGACCTGAGTAATCCCAGCTCTTGGGAGGCAGAACCAGAAGTGTCATTAATTGGAGGCTAGCCTGGGGTATGTGTGAGTTCCAAGCCAGCCTTGGCGCCATAGAGCAACAGTTCTCAACCTGTGGGTCTCTATCCCTTTAACAAACCTCTTAACTCCAAAAAATTACATTACAATTCATAACAGTAGCAAAATTACAGTCAAGAAGTAGCAATGAAAGAAATTTTATGATTGGGGGTCACCACAACATGAGGAATTGTCTTAAAAAGTTAAAACTTTCGGAAGGTTGACGACCACTGCTCTAAAGGATCTTGAAAAAGCAAAACTGACAAATCAAAAATCGAAGCATCCTCAGGTATGAACAGCGCCAGACATGCAGCTGGACGGCAGCTCCCTAATGCACATGGGGCGTGTGAGCTGTCCCAGAGTCTTTCAAAGGAATGGGCACAGTGGGTCAGAGTGTGCCTGGGCTTTCTCCACAGTAGCGACTTTGCACTGTGGCAGACACTGTATTCTTTTCATTGTGTTACTGGTGTTTTCAGAGTCCGTCTTTGGTGGCTGAAGGTTATCTGGCACAGCCTATTACTTGAGTAAACATGTAGGCCATTTGGTTGTGAGCCTAGCCTTCAACTGCTGAGCTGTCTCTCCAGCCCATAGGCCATTTGGTGAAGGATGAAGGTAGTGAAGGATATGGAGTATATAAAGTGCCTTCAAAGCCCCTGGGTCTCAGCTGTAATGCTGTTTCTGACCACTGGGGGTCTGAGGAATGAAACTGGACCTTTTTAAAAGTGGGGACTCGCTGTGACCCTCGAGAAGGCCTGGAACTTACATAGTCCATGCCCAGCTATGTGAGTGCCTGGAGACGGTCGGCAGTGTTGATCGAGTGCCCACATTGAAAGTGAAGTTTGTCTTTAGAATTCAGAAAGTCAGGCTGAAGGCTTGGACAGTCTCTGCACTCACAGTGGCTGGCACATGATTCAGCTTGCCTGCAAGCTGCTCTCCTGGGTGCATCCTTTGTCCTGAGTCATCTGCAGTGTGCCGCTCCATACATTATCTGTTTTCCCCTGTAAGTGTGTCTAAGGAAGTTAACCTCTGCAGAAAGCAGTAATGCAGCCAGTATCATGAGAACTGACACAGCAGAGGCAACCGAGTAATGCAAGCAGTAAGTGTAGTGAGATGCTCGCCATCCGGGAGAGTCTGCATGTGCTGACAGCTGATGGGTGGTCCATGCCCACAGCAGAACCTACCATTGGGCCTGGGGAGATGGCTAAGCCATTAAGAAAGAGCACTATCTGCTCTTCCAAAGGACCCAGGTTCAAATCCCAGCACTTACAGTGACTCTCAAGTATCTGTGACTACAGTCCCAGAGGGCTAGATTGATGTTCTCTTGACCTCCACAGGCATCCAGAGATCCACAAGGATGACCCCAACTAACAATCTAAGCACTAGTAGAGAGGCTACCTTATATGCCATCCTAGAGCCTTCATCCCGTAGCTGATGGAAGCAGGCGCAGACACCCACAGCTAAACACTGAGCCGAACTCCTGGAATCCAGTTGTAGAGAGGGAGGAGTGATGAGCAAAGGGATCAACACCAGGCTGGAGAAACCCACAGAATCAGCTGACCTGAACATGGGGGAGGGACTCATGGACCCCAGTCTAACAGCTGGGGAACCAGCATAGGACCGACCCAGACTCCCTGAATGTGGGTGTCAGTTAGGAGAACTGGGCAGTCTATGGGGCCTCTGGTAGTGGGTCAGTATTTATCCCTAGTGTGGGAATGGACTTTGGGTTGGTAGGAAGTGCTGTGCAGCTCCCTCTGCATCTCTTAGAGCCCGGGGGCTGCCCAGCTGGCCCCTCACTATCATTTGCGTGTCAGACGAGAGTCCAGCTCTCGGGTGCCCCGGGCCCTCATCTGTCTCGCCTCACATGTGTTCACAGGTGGTGGAAAGAAAGAGGACCCCAGCTGAGATCCGAGAAGAGTTTGAGAGGCTCCAGAGAGAGCGGGAAGAGCGCAGACTGCAGCAGCGAACCAACCCAAAGGTAGCCAGCACCGCTCAAGGGGACCTGGGGAAGCCAGGTTGAAAATAATTGAGTGTTTTTCAACTGACTGCATAAAACTGGGTGGGCAAAACCTTGCTGTCTGTCTCAGAGCAGTGTTTTTGTGGAAGGTGGCACCTTGAGTTGCTCAGCAGAGCTGCGGCCAAACACAAGCATTCAGACCCTTGGAGGAACGGGTAAGAGGGGAGGGTAGAAGAGTCTCTAGGTGTGCACAGCTGCAGCCCAGAGTTCTCAAAGGCCTTTCCTCTGTGACACTTCCTGAGCCCTTGGCACTCGGCCTCAGTGAGAAAGGACAGACACCCAGCTATAGCTTAAGCTCCACGGCAGAGGTCCCCTCGCGGTTAGACTGGAGAGCGTATCCAGCTGGCACCAAGCAGGGAGCCTCTGCGCTCTTCACCCCAGGCAACTCTTGTACAGTATCTCTTTCCTTCTGTTTGAGTGGTCGTTCTGAGTTGTGCCCCAGCCAGGAGGCGCATGGCTACCTCGTGAGGTTTGGGGTGTGCATTGCCCAGAATGGGTGTGGTTTGCTGTGCAGGCTGGGCACCGTCACTGTGTGTGGGTGGCCCTGCTGTAGCCTGTCTTGTCACGATAAGCTGGTAGCCTTCCCATCACCTCTTGAGGTACCTCCATCCCCTCGACCATGTGGTTGGAAGAAACTGCAGGGTGATAAGAGGCACATTGTTTTTCTTCCTTTCTTTCTTTTGGTTTTTTGTTTGTTTTGTTTTTGTTAAAAAATAAAGTTTTCTGTTTTGTTTTTTTAGGAAATTGTTTTATAGGGCTGAAGAAATGGCTCAGGAGTAAATGTGCTTTCTGCCAACCCTGACAAATTCAGTTTGATCCCAGGGACAATGTGATAGAGTTGATTTCCAAAAGCTGTCTTCTGACTTACACACACTCTCTCTCTCTCTCTGGCACACACAATATACATAGACAGTTTAAGGTGATTGTTTAGGTTTCCGTGGCAAAGCACAGCCATCAGTTACCGTTGTGACTCTAGTCTGGTCTGTGGGAGTGGGCTGGAGTCAAAAAGCAACCACCCTTGGGCACAGGACAGGGTGGGGGAAACCGTTAGGACCCATGTGTCTGTTGTGCTGAGGGGCAGAAGTGGGCCTGTGACCGGACAGAACCTGGTTGGCCCCGCCCACCTAGGAACTGGTCAGATGAAGAGAGCTGTGCTTTGGAAAAGCAGAGTCCTGTGCTGCTCCCAGGCCATGTGTCTCATGAAGGGCCACGTGTGTGGAGACTCATTATCAGCACAACTTGAACTAAGGGGTGGGAGGCTGGGGTCTTCAAATGCTGATGCCCTTAAGATGGTAAAGTCTAGGTCCTGGTTCTCGATAAACGAAATGATTCTGTGGCTGCTCTCATCATCATCAGAGCTGTCCTGAGGCCAGTGCAAAAAACACAGATGTCCTGTTGCTTTTGGCGGTCTGTACCCTTTATTTTCTGTTGCTGTTATACAACCATACAACCGACCAGGGCTCCTTAGAGAAACCAGAGCTTGTTAGGTTTGCGGTTTTACAGGGATGAGAGTCCACAGAGGACAAGAAGCATTGGCAGCAGGGGTTGGGCAGGCTGGCACGGGAAGCCAAGGGGGCAAACTGAAGTGTCCCTCCCACCAGGCTGCACCACTTAATCCTCCACAGACAATGCAGTCAGCTGGGGACCCGGTGTTCAGATGGCCCAGGATGTGCAGACATTTTCGTTCAAACCCACCACATTGCCTTAGGGGGAAACATTCACTTGGTGAAGTCATTGTTGAGTCTAAGGATCTGCCTCAAGAAAGGGGGGAAAAAAGAGCTTGTTTACTTATAGCCGTTAATGAGAAAACGAAGACCCTACAAGTCTGTGACTGCGGTCTCTTCATCCACAGACAGACAGGTCAGGGAAGACCGGCGGTGGCTGTGGGGGAGAGCAGCGGGGCCATGTGACTGTGAAAGTTAGCTCTCTCGGCGGCTGACGGCTCCTTTGGAGCTGTGTGCTGCACACGGTTAGTCTCCAGTAGCCCCTCCTGCTGTGTGACGGCCACGTGTCACTCGGTCTGATGGCAGAGTGGAGTGCTCTACGGCGCATCAGCAAGCCGCCACCTACTGTCCAGTGTGCAGCCCAGGGGCTAAGGATGACACTTTGATTCTGAGTTTGGTAAAATTCAAAAGAATATTTTGTAACACTTGAAAGTTAGATTGCAAGTGAGTGATGGATTCCCTAGAGGTGGGTGACACTTAGCCAAATCATCTGTATCTGGCTTTGGTGACAGCCCCAGAGCTGAGTGTTCCGTCTTGCCGGTGAGTGCCTAGATTATTCTCTGCTCTTCACGAAGCAACTATGACAGCTTCACTCTGGAAAGGCTTGAAAAGAAGCAGAAGCTTGCTAGCCAGAAAGACAGAAGGAACGTCACAAATTCACACAAACGAAATCACTGGAACTGGCCAGGAAGATGGCACACACCTTTAATTCCAGCACGGGAGGCAGAGGCAGGCAGATCTCTGGGTGCGAGGCCAGCCAGAGTTGGAGAACCAAGCCTGTGATTCAGAGTTAGTGTTGCAGGTTGAAGAGGGCTTGTCCTTAGTAAATGCCTTCTTAGTGTCACCTGGGTGTGCTTGCTGTAGGGCATTTAATGGACTTGGGTGGGAAATTGCACGCACCATCAGAAGCTTCAGCTAACCTCTGGCCCACTTGGTGTGTCCAGCAATTGATTGTTCATTAGCTGTGTGTGTTGGAGTCCCTGTCAGAACTCAGAAGTGACTTCTCACAGAAGAAAACATGTGCTCTGTGTGAGTGAGTGTGTGTGTGTGTGTGAGCGTGTGTGTCTGTGCGTGTGTTTACTGTAAACCGAAGGCCAGCCTTGGGGGGCACACAGGGGAGAAATCCCTACTCTGGTGCTGCAGCAGGCCATCTGCAGATTACTTCCCATAGTCAGAGAGAGCAGAAGGTGGCATCTGGGCCTCTAGGAAATGAAGAAATGCCCCTTGTCAACTAAGGGTGACCAGGCCAGCCATTTTCAGGACAGTTAATTTCATCAAGCGAGTTGTTACTGGGGCCCAGCATTCTCTTGGGCTCACTCTGCCTGTTCCAGCTTAGTCGTTGGCTGTAGATTTGGGTGGACAGTTCCCAGCTTGCTGGAGCTTTCAAACACTGTGGCCTTGTTTAAAAACAACGGGGGTAGGGGGGTGGGGAGGCTGGAAAATGATGACTGGACCACGGTCTGACTTCTGAGTGTCGCTTGTCCTGTGCTGAAGCAGTCCGTCACTTGGTTGTCAGTGTGGAGTCTGTGACAGTAGTTTGTTTGTTTGTGACAGGTCTTGCTTGTAGCCTGGGGTGACTTGCAACTTGTGACCCTCCTGTCTCAATGTCCCTGGTGCTAGGATTCCAGGCTGGGACTACTGTGCTTTTCAGAGGTGGTGCTGGGATTAAAGTGTGTCATCACACTTGGCCTGTGTTCTCCTTGTTGTAGAATTGTTGAGGAAGATACCAGGGCCTTGTACACCCAGGCTCTGCCACTGAGCTAAACACCCTCAGCCTGCCGTTTGAATGATCCCTGGGGTGGACTAGATTCCACTGGCTGACTCTAGACTTCCACCTCCCCTGCACGTGTGGTCCAGTGGTGCCTGGGTCTTGCTGTTCACAGGTTTACTGGCCCAGTGTTGAACAAAGCTTGCTTGCTTGGTGGTTGGTTGATAGGGTTGGTTTGTTTTTGAGCAAGGGTTTTCCTAGGTAGCTCAGGTTGGCCTTGAACTCGATATGTAACTCAGGCTAGCCTAGAATTTAGACCAGTCGCTCTGCAGCTGTGGTAGCTGGCAGAGTGGGCCTGGCCTGACAACTTTTCCATACAAGTCTTCGCCAGCTAGGAATTGCTCCCAACAGATGAGTTCCTAGTAGCTGCCTTGATTTGCATAGCTAGTCTTCAAATGCATGGTCCATATGGTCGAGACCTAGATGGAGAACAATCCTGAGCATGAAGCCAGGGCCATCGCCCCATGCCTGCCTTCCTCCCCTCCCTCCCTCTCCCCCTTCCTCCCTCAGTTTTAAATTGTGGTCATGGATGTGTTACTCTGGAGAGGTGGAGACTATGTGTGTCAGTCTTGGTGGTGTCCACTTGTAATTCCAGCACTTGAGAGGTAAGGCAAGAAAATTAGGAGTTCAAAGCCAGTCTCAACTACATATCAAATTCAATGCCATTGTGGATTATATGAAACTCCCCCCACCCAAAAAAGATCCATTTGAAATTTCTTCATATTATAGCATGAAGAGTATGGAAGTATCTATCGCTCTATTACTCGTAGGCTTTTTCTTTTTGTCTCCATTCAGAACAGTCTTTGGTTTTTTTGGGGGGGAGTTGTCTGTGTGATTTTTGTTTATTTGTTTTTTAAGACAGGGTTTCTCTGTGTAGCCCTGGCTGTCCTGGAACTCTCCCTGTTGACCAGGCTGGTCTCGAATTCACAGATCACCTGTCTCTGCCTCCAGAGTGCTGGGATTAAAGGCATGTGCCACCACCACCTGGCTGTCTGTGATGATTTTTAAACAAACTGTGTTTATGGTCTTTTGAATGTGTCATCAACTGTAGACACTTAACTGTTCTACTCCAGAATGGAGTAGAAGTGTAACTACTTAAAAATGCCTGTTCCACCTACGGACTTTGTTGTCCAAAACTGACGTGCCAGAAGGCCCTCCATCGACTGAGATGCCCCTCAAACCTTCGGAGAACATGTGTGGTTCCTCCTGAGCAGATGCATCTGGGGTGATCCTTTGGCTTCGGTGACTATGATCCCCTTGGTGTTTAGGGCTGATGAACTCTTAGGGCTGAATGAGTTATGTACACAAACCTCTGATCCCAAAGGCCAAAGGTTGCTTGTCCCAGGAACGCTAGGCCAGCCTGAGCACTGCATCCGGAGCCCTCCCTCAGCAGTAGTAATAGTGGAGTGTGGGAACATGAACCTCTATGTTCAGCTCTTGGAAAGGAAAAACAGAAGAGGATCTATGTATGCTTCAGACCTTCCTGTTTAAAAATAATAATAATAATAATATAAAAATAATAATAACAATAGAAATAAAAGTAATAAATGACAATTTAAAAAGTTAGTCTGAGCCAGGGTTGGCAACTTGGGAGTGTAGCCCTAGGTGCTTGGGATGAGAAGTTCAAGGCCAGCCTGAAGCTTACTTTGTCTTGAAAAAATGTCTCAAGGTATTGAGGCGTAGCTGAGGGGGGAGAATTTGCCTTAAACATACTGGGAAAGAGGGAACGGAGAGAGGCCTTGTAAGTACGTACATCTTTCTGAGAAAACAAAAATTAAATACTTTTTTAAAAATGAAATATTGTTTAATTTCATCGTCTGAAGAATGTATCCTGATAGTCATGATGGCAAATACTACCAAACGGTAAAAGTCTGTATATTTCTCAGGAACTGCCAAAACATAGCCAATGCCATTTGATTATTTTTGATGGCATGTGAGGTAAGAAACTGTCAGGAAAATACCAAAAAAGGGGCTGATTTTTAGTGATGCTTAAGAGTTGTGTGCTGTGAGGCTGCAAGCTTTGTGGGCAGGGTTTCCTTGGATCGTAGCCACAGTCAGTTACTTGCTGTTATCTGCTGCTCTCTCACAACACAGCCAAACACCGAAACATTATGTACTCTAGCCTTTCACAGAAAACGGATGACGTCATTCAGCAGATGACAGAGATACTGTGGCACGTCCTATTGCAGAGCAAGCCCACCCTCATTTCCCACCTGCCACAGCTACCCGCCACTGTCCCGTGGTTGTGGTCGACAATAGTTTGACAACTTCCTGCAGCCTACAGGCCGACAGTGGACACCTGCCACTCAGAGGCACATCTAAGTCTACCCACCACCCCCTGAGCCTGGAAGGAGTTAGCTGTACTGAGTGATTTTTGTCAGCAAGCACCATGTGGGCCATCTGAGGCAAGGACAGGCTGTTCCGTTTCATCTTGAAATAGATGGGAGGAGAGAATCTGAAGAGATGGCTTGGGTTAAGAGCACTGCTTTGAAATCATGAGAGCTGGATTCCAGATCTCAGCACCCATATACCAAGCTGAGTGTCCTGAGCATACTTATAACCCCAACTCTGAGGAGAGCAGCAACAGGGGGCCCATTGAGGTTTGTTGGCCTCCAGTCTAGCCAAGAAATGCAGTCCTAGACTTAGGGAGAGACCCCGCCTCAAAGGAATAGGTGGAGAGGAGTAGAGCACACCTGATGCCCTCTTCCGGGCTCTTCGTGTAGAGATCAGGTGTGTGCAATGGGGAAATAAATGAATAGCTTTTTTAAAGCCAAGAGATGAAGTGCATAGGAGAAGAGTGGGCGCCTCGCTGGGCATTCCAGCGAGACAATGACAGATTCCACTAATGGAGAGGTGAGCGTGACCTGTCAGACCCAATCTGCTGTCGCCGTCGCCTTGTAAATTACAGTTTTATTGGGAAGGGATGTGGTGCATGTGTGTGAAAATCAGGGTAATTTGCTCCAGTCCGTTCTCTCTCCACCATGTGGGTTCTGGAGATTGGACTCAGATAGGTGAACTTGGAAGCAGGTATGTCCATTACCCACCAGGCCATCTTGCCAGCCTCTGCTCTAGAATCTTAATTAAACGCAACCATTGTTGCTGGTGATACTTAGTGGAAAATCTTGGCTAATGGCTAAGCCAACAAAAAGCAAGGTAAAGATGGTTTTGGCATACCCTCCGTGACTGCCGTTCAAATCAGAATCCTAGAGGGAGAGGGGGGACAGATTTGTTCTGTCCAGGGTTGGTTGTGGAAGCTGCTTCGAGGGCCTGTAGCAGCAAATCCTGGCAGTCAGGAAGAGAGAGGGGGGAAGCAGGTCCCACTAGGCCCTACTTTCAAAGCACAAAGCTAGGATGGACATTTTTCAGGACAGGTACTTGCTGTGTTACCTGAGCTGTCTTGACCTTCTGAGCTCAAAGGATACTCCTGCCGTAGTGCTTGGGCCTCCAAACAGCTCTCCTCAGCGCCTAGCGGCCTCTGTCTGTCCTGGTTCCCCCATTAGGTGCCCCTGAAGCCACCACTCATGTCTGTGTGTGTGTACTTGCACATCTCCCCTTCTTGGGGACACGGGTTGCTTCTTATTTTGGTGATGGCTTAGGAGTGAATTCATCTGTTGCAGGTGCTACAGCCGCCCATAATCCCAGCCCTGGAGGTGGAGGCCGGAGGATTGGGAGCTCAGGGTCATCCTCAGACTAAGCAACACCAGACTCTCAGTACCCTGCAGGAAGGGGTTTGCACAGCTGGAATGGTGTTACTCCCAAACGAGGGGAAAGACCATTACCCCGGTTCTTGGGTCAAATTATGCAAGCTTTTATTCGAACACAGGGGAAACCTGTAAGACTGGCAGGGTCGGGTTTTGGGGTGTTTCCAGAGGAATTTTGGTTATATAGGAGCTTGGCTGAATGTTTCAGAATGATTTGGCAGCACATTTTATAAGGGTGAATGTTGGGGTATAGAGAATGAAACATGTCAGATTCCAGAAAATGCATGAAAACAGCCAAACCCAAAGTTGACAACAAAAATGTACCTATTTGGGACTTGTACAAGATGGCTATTAGTCTTAAAATGGAGTCATCAGTCCATCGGTGTACATCTGTACTTCTAGCACCTGAGAAGCAGAGTATTGCTTCAGCTTCAATACCAGCATACATAGTGAGTTTTAGGTCAGCCTGGGCCATAAAGTAAGTCCCTACCTTGAAAAATAATAGACTGAAGAGAAATTAATAAAAATGTTTATGATTTTTGTGAATTGCAGTGTGCTCACAGGCACATTTGGTTAAGATATGTACATGTGCCCATGAGAAAAGTCTTAGAACTTCGAAAGAAAATGATAAACATTGTTTTCTGTAAAGGGTTTTTATCCGTGTGCTGGCTAATTTGATATTAACTTGACAGACAGGCTAGAGTCGTCTGAGGAGGGAACTCCAGTTAAGAAAATGCCTTCATAACATTGGGCTGTAGGCAAGCCTATAGGGCATTTTCTTGATTCTCGTGGTTGATGGGGTACAACCCATTGTGAGGAGTCATCTCAGATTGGTGGGTCCTGGATGCTATAGGAAAGCAGGCTGAGTAAGCCAGTAAGCAACACTCCTCTATGAACTCTGCATCAGCTCCTGCCCCCAGGCCCCCACCCTGTCTGACTCCAGTGACAGACTGTGACTATGGAAGCATAAGCCACATAAAGCCTTTCCCCAGCTTGATTTTGGTCATGGTGTCTCATTACAGCTATAGTAACCCTAACTAAGACAGGCAGCAAAATTTTAGCTTAGTATTTCTTTGGTTTTTTTTTTTTTTTTTTTTTTTTTTTTGCTTTTCAAGACAGTAAGTAGCTTTGAAGCCTGTCTTGGAACTCTGTAGACTAGGCTGGCCTCGAACTCACAGAGAGATCCCTCTTGCTCTGCCTCCTGAGTTCTGGGATTAAAGGCATGTGCAACCAACACCTGGCTAGCTTAGTATTTCTTGTGAACATGCTCAACTTTTCAAATGCAGAACCGTGTGTGAGTACCCGTGTGTGCACATTGTGTACCTGCTTGGCCTGGAGGGCACTCTTAGGTCCCGTGGAATTGAGAGGTGGTTGTAAAGAAAAGTATGCCTAGTTTACTTGGCCAGTGTGTAGGTGCCATAGCCAGGGTCCATGTGGTCCCTGCATGGCCAGGTCACATGCTTCTCTCCCCCACATCTTGCCTCTGGTGCTACTCCCTCTGCAGTGTGTCCAGGCTGCCTATTCCCGTAGAGCTGGTATTTTCAGGCTCTGATAGTCTAAGGCATTGCGAAGGTTTTGTTTGAACTGTGACATTCATGCTTCATGGGCTTCATGGAGCGCCGTCCTTCCGTGAAGTCAGACACCTGAGCACTCGGCTTCAACGCTGTCATTGCGCAAAGAGCAGCACTCGGTGTTGACTGCGCGTTTCTCTGCCCCAGGGAACCATCAGCGTTGGAGTAGATGCCACTGACCTTTTTGATCGCTATGATGAAGAATATGAAGACGTGTCCGGAAGTGGCTTTCCGCAGATTGAGATTAATAAAATGCACATATCCCAGTCCATTGAGGTAAAGCAGACCCCTCTCCCCGTACAGCCTGGGCCTGAGTTAATGAGGCGCAGTGCCGGAGCAGCTGGATGGGAGTCGGCTCAGGGTTTCTCCTCATCTTTATTTATGAAAGGCTGCAATTAGCCACAGAGACAGGGGAAGGGATGGCGAGAGAGCGGGTGAGCATGCTCCGTTTGGCCTTGTTTGTTACTGCTCTGCCCCCACACACAGGCAGCTGAGTGCTGGCACTCAGCTCCCTAGGTCCCAGATCTTGCCAGTTAGCAGTGCTACTGGTGTAAGCATTGATGGCCAAGGTCATGGTGGTTTAGGAAAGACGGCAGCCCTGGCTGGCAGATAATTCTCAAAGCCAGTCTCAGTTCTAACTTCCGGACTGCAGAAGACAGTAGCAGCTGTGGTCCTGAACCGGGGAATTTGAACACCACCCTCTTGTCCCTGGGTGCAATAGGGGCAGGCCATTCTACTTAAGACACCAGGGTCTCTGCCTCCATAAATCTTCAGTTATTAGCAAGTGCATGAGGCTGCCCCATGGAGTCCATGCCAAGTGAGAGCCTTGGTGGTAGACGGGACTAGAGAGCCCAGACAGCACATTACGGGAAGGCATGCAGTTCCTACTGGAGCACAGTAGACCTGGTGCTCGGCCACTCTCTGGGTTGGGGAATTCTCCCCTTGAAATGGCTGCAGATCAAGAGCTAACTCTGTAGGCAGAGTGCCCGACACATGGACTCGGTCCCCGGTACCATAGACATACATAAATGCACATGCCAGCACTCAGGAGGCAGAGGCAGGCGCATCATCCCACAAGGAGGCTAGCCTCATCTGCACCCCACAGCCAGAGCGACATAGTGAGACCCTCTCAAAAAAGAGTTTTGTAAAATAAACTTCTTTCATGACCACATGCCACTGACGTAACGTAGGGAGAGAGCCAGCAGTTGAGGAGGCCGTTTGCCTCTGTGTCCTGAACTGCCAGGTGACCTGTGTCTTAGGCTGAAGGTGTCCTCATTGTGTCTGTTCATTTGCTACTAGTGGCTGTCCTCTCCTAGGCACCCTTGACAGCTACAGACACAGCCATCCTCTCTGGAAGCCTCTCCACCCAGAATGGCAATGGTGGTGGTTCCATTAACTTTGCACTCCGGCGAGTCACTTCTGCAAATGGATGGGGAGAGGTAAGAGCAGCTGGATTCTGGCCCATACGTGGTCCCATTAGCGAATAGTCACACGACAAGCTGACCTTCACTGCCTGAGGGGTGTTGCCTGCAAGTCCCCCGGGCTAGTAATTAGTGAGACAGCTGCTGAGTGTGGGAAGGGGAGATGGCCCAAGGCCACACCAGCGCCCTGATAGGAGACCTTCCTACGCAGGGCCAGCAGTACAGGGAGAGGTGTGTGCCGCTGGCTATGGCAGGCAGCAGGTGGCGCTGCAGGGGCATGGGGAGTGTGGACTACCAGTCTCCTCCCTTTCCGACTTGAGCCAAGGGAGGTCAGAATTCAGGATTGAGAGTCTGGGCCAGTGAATCTGGGGCAGAGGTGATACTGAGATGCTCCGCTCGGAGTCTGCCAACCCCCTGTTGAGAGCCTGGCCAGGTTCATGCTGAGCCCTGGGTTGCTGCTGGAGAAAAACACCACTAATGCTTTCTGTTTGCTTTCCAAACAGTTGGAGTTCGGAGCCGGAGACCTCCAGGGGCCTTTATTTGGTCTCAAGCTGTTCCGTAACCTCACACCAAGATGGTAAATATATGAGATCACTCCTAAGTTAGAGCCTGTGAATTCTTGTGATTGTGGACATCTAAAGTTTCTGTGCTGTGCGCAGCCTGCGGGCTAGAAAGAGCTCTGCATTGGGAAGCAGGGCCCAACCCCAGCACACTTTGTTCTGAACTGAGCAGCTGTCCACCTTGGGACCATGTGCCTTAGAGTCCTGTGAGACGTGTGTGTGTGTGTGTGTGTGTGTGTGTGTGTGTGTGTGTGTGTGTGTGTCCTTGGATTGCCTGGTGGCTGGGTAGACTTGGCCACACCAGAGTTAATGTCTCTGCAGCTACAGTGAAGACAGTACCAGATAATAGTTCATTACCGTGGGGGTCACGGTGGCAGACCCTGAGGGATCAGTCACGTCACATGTAAAGTCAGGACAGAGAGGCCAGGTGTGGCCATGCACACCTTTAACCCCAACACCTGGGAAGCAGAGGCAGATGGGTCTTTGAATATGAGGCCAGCGTGGTCTACAGAGCACATTCCAGGCCAGCCAGAGATAGTCTGTCCTCCTTGATGCTCAGTATCCAGATCAGCCATGTCTCCCTCCAGGGCTCCCTACTCCATGGCCATGTCCAAGCTCAGCCTTTACAGTTGCTATTTAAAACCAGTTGTGTGGTGATACGGAGGTAGATAGAGGCTGGGAGATGAGAAGTTGAGGGTCAGGAAGGGCGAGCATGGTGGTAATCCCGTCATTTGAGGGGTAAAAGCAAGCAGGAGGATCGGGTGTTCAAAGCCAGCCTTTGGTTCATACCACATCAGAGACCAACCTTTGGCCTCCAAAGCAAACAGCCTGTGGGATGGTCTCCATCTCTGGCCAGTGTCTGCCTTGCTTACCTACTGATTCCTTCCCTTTGAGACAGAGCTGCGTCTCACCCCTGCCTTTTTTCAGCTTCTCTGCACTTTCTCTTAGAGCTCCGGGATGACCTTCTGTCTTCTGGTTCTCCTAACTCATGTAGGTGAAGCAGGAAATGTAGCCTTTCGCTAACATGACCTGAGTTTCAGGCAGGTGAGGGACTTTGGCCTGGGTCTTGTGGAAACTAAGGAACTGGTTCTTCTTATTCATTTGGCTGAGGGAAGCTCCTGGGAGTATAAAGTAATACTGATTCAAAGTGTGTTAGCCAGGTGGTGGTGGCACCCACCTTTAACTCCAGCATTCGGGAGGCAAAGCAGGAGGATCTCTGAGTTTGAGGCCAGTCTGGTCTACAGATGGAGTTTCAGGACAGCTAGGACTACATAGAGAAACCCAGTCTTAAAAAAAAAAAAAAGTCAGGCGCTAGTGATGCATGCCTTTAGTTCCAGCTCTCGGGAAGCAGAGGCAGGCAGATCTCTGTGAGTTTGAGGCCAACCTGGTCTACAGAGCTAGCTCCAAGAGAGGCTCCAAAGCAATACAGAGAAACCCTGTCTCAAAAAAAAAAAAGACATTTGTGTGCCATGGTTACCTTAGTGGTTGCTTTAATCCAGAGCTTAGAAAATCAAGAAAGAAATGACTAGATGATGCAGTGAGTGTTGACTGTGTTCTGAGGACACCAGTTATTTGTCAGCCTCCTTCCGTCCATACTGGTGAAATACACTTTACCCAGAAGGTGGGGCTGTTCTTCTAGAAGTCGACGTCAGAGCCCTTCCTGAAAAGCTGGTTTTTCTATCATTTCAGTTAAGTAGTCAATAGCAGGGTGGACATCAGGATCCTGGGCAGTTTTTTAAGATTAATAAGGGCTAGAGAGATAGCTCAGCATTTAAGAGCACTTGTTGCTCTTGTGGAGGATCTGGGTTTGACTCCTCGCCCGCACACCAGCTCCTAAGCACGCACGGCACACATTCCTGAATGTACACAAAACACTCATACACGCAAGATAAAAGGTTTTAGGGGTGTGTGGTGTGTGTACAGGCTGGAGTTCCACCCAGGACTTCTGACTTACTGCCGTGTGCTTGAGGCAGGTAGCTCTACTCTTTCTTGTGAGTTGATACACTTGGAAGGTAAGCTGTTCATGCTCCAAGCTCATGCTGAAAAAACCAGAATGCCTAACATTGATGCTATCTCTCAATGGCTGCAGATCAGCCAGGTGACTTGAGCAGCATTCAGCAGAGTTTAGGGACCAACTGCTGTCCTGAGCCAACTGTGTTGTGTTCGAAATGTCACCAGGATTGCCTTCTGTTGGCTCTGTGGGTGGAGAGTTGGGGTCACCAGAGAGGGTCCTAGAAAGACAGACTTCCCCTTTGTCTTCCCTCGCTCTGCTGCTTTCCTTGCTAAGAGCTGGCCTGGAGATTTGGAAGTGAGTCTCAGCCTGGCAAGAGGACACCGTAGAGCCTGCGTCACCTGTACCCTTTCTGTCTGTCCCCCCAGCTTTGTGACGACAAACTGTGCTCTGCAGTTTTCATCCCGTGGAATCCGGCCTGGCCTTACCACTGTCCTGGCTCGGAACCTGGACAAGAACACTGTGGGCTACCTGCAGTGGCGATGGGGTATCCAGTCGGCCATGAACACTAGCATCGTCCGGGACACTAAGACTTGCCACTTCACTGTGGCCTTGCAGGTGAGTAGAGGAGCTGCAGTCTCTTGAAGATCCTGCAATCCTGCGGGCGCCTCTGCGTACACCCAGCAGTGCTTCTAGTGTGGAAGGAAAATGTTCTCAGTTAGGCAGGTGGCTGGTTCCGGTCATCTGAAAGGAAAGTGGTGTCCTCGCACCCTTATATCAGAGTGGTGCTCTCCTCTCTCTAGGCTCTGTGGTCAGGCAGAGAGGTGGAAGCTGCTGGGGAGCAGGTCTCTCGAGAGTGGCTGCTCCTGGATTGTTCCTCAGCCTAGCTCAGAGTTGCCAGCGGTTTCTGGGTTTTGTTTTTTGGGGTTTCGCCCTGCTGCGGTTTCTGTTTTTCCTGGGAGGCTAGTAAGCTGTAGTTTTCACTAGAAATCTCAGTTTTTCTAGTCATGTGCTTCATAACCTCCCTGTTGATGGTGGATTTCATGGTAAGACCATGTCACCCAGTGCTGCCACAGGAACCTTATTTCGTGCGAGATTCACACGATGGCAGATCGCTGTCGTCTCTCAGCACATCGTAGCACAACAGTGGCTGTACATGTGGCGCAGCTGCCCTGTGAAGCTCCCTGCGGGCGGATGTCCAGCAGCTGTGGGCAGCTAGGCGTCGTCTTGCGGGATGGTGAGGCTGAAGTGCCGCCCTTTCGCCTGTCCTCAGCTGGGCATCCCTCACTCCTTCGCTCTGATCAGCTATCAGCACAAGTTCCAGGATGATGACCAGACGCGCGTGAAAGGGTCCCTCAAGTAAGTGCGGCTTTGCTGGCTGGCACAGAGGCGGCGGGCCGGCCCTGCGGGGCCTCGGGGTGGGGCTGTCCCTCAGGGTGGGGCTGTGATGGTGGCACAGAGGCGGGCCGGCCCTGCGGGGCCTCGGGGTGGGGCTGTGATGGGTCCTGAGTATCATTGTCACTCCTGTCGTGCTCCACGGTTGCCCCTTGTCGGGTGGTGGGATTCACTACTTTGTAACCGGTATTAGAGAACTCCAGGATGCTCCAGAGCTGCTGGTACCTGAAGGAGCGTCCTGGCATCGGCTCCCATGGAGGGGCGGGGCTGTTTTCCGTGGCCGCTGCCTGCAGCTGTGCTCTGTCCCACAGGGCAGGCTTCTTTGGGACAATAGTGGAGTACGGGGCTGAGAGGAGAATCTCCCGGCACAGTGTCCTGGGCGCCGCCGTGAGCATTGGTGTCCCACAGGGCGTGTCTCTCAAAGTCAAGTAAGTTCGGCCTCGCTCTGGGGGGGGGGATTCCTCTGTGCCAGGGGCATGAGCGGAGGTCAGGGGGAGCGTGAACCCAGAAGTGGTGGAGTTGGAGGAGGCCTGGGCTCTGCCCAACCTTCCCTGGGCGTGTGCTCATCACTGGACTCCGGTGGCCCTGTACCCCCCCCCACTGTCACCGTAAGCATCTGCAGCATCAGAGTCCTCTTTGTCCCGTGTCAGCATGCACCCTTTTCTCCACGCTGCCCAGTACTGCAGACATGCTGAGCTGCTGAGAATTGTGGTGCTTGTGTGAGATGCGGGTCTCACATAGCCACGGCTGCCTGAAACTCACACCTGGGGCCCTGTTTTCAGTTACCTCAGTATTGGGGTTTCAGGCAGGACACATCTGGCTTCTGGGTTTGCTCACTTTTCTGTTGTACCCCAGCCCTCTCTGGAGGGAGCCTTCTTTCCCTCGGGCATCTTCCTTCCCAGGAGCAGGCAAGCTGTCCATCTTCTGCAGTGCCTTCTTCCTGTCCATCCCACCACACACTTGTGTGCCTGGTTCTTAGACAGCAGGCTGGACGAGCTCCTGGCTGTCTCTTCCCTCCTCCCAGAGGCAGCTCTGTGGGCCACAGGCCTTGTCTGCGTCTGTGCAGGCTCTCCCACAAGTGTCCCTGTCTGGCCCGTGTTTTTAGTACCATCATCTACAAGTTTTGGTATCCAAATGGACTCCTAGAACCTGTGTCCCATGACTTCCATGGGATGGCTGTACTGTATTTCCAACATCCTTGCCTCGGGGGCCCATCTTGACCGCTTCCTATGTGCACAGTGTATCCTCTGTATCCGTGGGTCGCACATGTGTGGATTTAAGCCACCCTGAATGAGAAGTGATGGAGGCAAAGTTGCACAGAGGCAGACAGTGCAGCGTGGCAGGTATCTACGCAGTGCTCATTTAGACATGGTAGTGGCATTTAAAGCCTCTGGGCGTGACTGTCAGGGCTGTGACAGTAGCGTCAGGGAGGCCTAAGACTGGAGATGACTCCGTCAGTAAAGTGCTTATAAGGAGGACTTGTTTGACCCCCCAGAACGCATGTAGAAAAGTGCAGTGTGGTAGCCTATGCTTCAGTCCCAGGCAGGAAGGTAGAGACGGGCGGATTCCTGGGATATGCTGGCCAGCCCAATGAAAGATCCTGTCTAAGAAAGAGAAAATGTGAACACCTCCTTAGTTTAGACCTCCATATGTACAGGTCCATGTATCCACTAAACAGGATGGACAACTAAATTCTGAGTGCCAATGAGTCAAGTGTCCCCTTCTGGCTTCTGCAGGTACCGCATACGTATGATGCAGTAGGCTGAACACACGCACATACATCAAATACTGTTTAAAATATAATACTGGTGAAAATGCATAGGCTTCTGCAGACAGACGCACTACCCTTTTACAGCTATGAGCTGGGACTCCTGAACTCTTAAGCCACTTTTATCCGAATTGGGAGAGCAAGTGAGGCTGAGGAGCATAAGGAGCGTACTCCACGGGATTCTGTCTGAGCACTTGTAATGACGACACACTTTGAAGTGGCTTCTTAGGGACAGCGTGTCACCTGTCACCCAGTGCTTTCCGTGACAGTATTAAGCTGCACAAACTAAATTTTTGTTTGGTTTGGTTTAGTTTTTTAAGATAGGGTTTCTCTGTGTAGCTTTGGAGCCTTGAACACTCTCTGTAGACCAGGCTGGCCTCAAATTTACAGAAATCCACCTGCTTCTGCCTCCCGCGTGCTGGGATTAAAGGCGTGCGCCACCACTGCCCAGCTCAAACTAAACTTTTTAAAGATTTATTATCTTTAATTATGTGTGTGGTCACATGAATTTGAGTGCTCCCAGAGGCCAGAGGTGTCAGATCCCCTGGAGCTGGGGTTTCAGGCAGCTGCCGGCCTCCACATGTGTGCTGGGAATTGAACTCTCTTAACGGGAGATTCTTTGTCCCGGACTGGTCCTGCTGCCCTTCAGCCCCAAGTGAACACATGGATACTATATTAGTTATAAAACTGTTGGCTGGTGGCTTGGGCTTCTTATTGGCTAGCTCTTAGTTATTAACTATTTCTATTAATGTATGCATTTCCACATGGTCTTCCCTTACCGTAGAACACCCACCACATCCTCTTTTCCCAGGCTTATATGACAACTCCATCTGCCTATGTTTCCCAGAATTCTCCTCATCTCCTAGCCCTGCCTATACTCCCTGCCTGGCCAATCAGCCACTCAGTGTTTTATTCATCAACCAATAAGAGAAACATACACACAGAAAGACATCCCCATCAGAACTCAGGTCCTCTGTCTGCCCTTGCTTGGGGCTCTGACAGGATGGCTTCTCAGCTGTAGCCACTAAGAGCACGCCCTGTGCACATTCACTGCGTTCCTGTTTAAAGGGGCCCTGCCCCCTCCCTCCCTCCCTCTCTCCCTCTCCTTCTCTGCTCCCCAGAGGCCAGTCTTCCCACTCACCTCCCCCACTTTTCTCATTCCCTTTCCCCTAATTAAAAAAAAAAGAAAACCTCCCTGGGAGGTCTGTCACATGACATCCTTTTTTTAAATTACAACACCTTCAGACTGAATTTTTATGCTGTTTGGATGTCCCCTTACAACCTTGACACATATGTTAGGTTCATAGTTTCAAATATTTGTATATAAAAGAGGAGTATTGGGGGTAGGACCCAAATCTAAATGAACTCAGTTTCATAAACATAGAGCTTTAATTTTTTTCTGTTGCACCTTCTGTCAACTTTGCTATATTGTAAACTGTGTTTCAAGGAGTCTCTCTCTTTTGAAATTTCTTACCATTTGTTCCTATCAACTGCCTGCCCCTTGTAGCAGCTATGCTATTGATAATTTGTATCCTTTTTGTTTTTTTGAGACAGGGTTTCTCTGTGTAATAGCTCTGGCTGTTCTGATTTGTAGACCAGGCTGGCCTTGAACTCACAGAGATCTGCCTGCCTCTCCCAAGTGCTGGCATTAAAGACGTGTGCTGCCTGGCTGGTTTCTTTGTTTGTTTAAAGACTAGGTAGATAGTGCCGACCTCAAACTTGCAAAGATCCGAGTGAGTACCTCTGCATCCTCACTGCTGGCTTAAAGGTGTTTGTCACCACGCCAGGCTTGAGTCCTTCCTAATAAAAACATTGACAAAATGAAGCCCCTTCATAATCTACCTCATCTTACAGATTTGACATTGTATTTTTATTTTCCAGTTTGAGTTGTTCTCTGGTTTCTCTTAGTTGTGTATTGCTTACTTGTGCATGGTAACGGATGCTTTTGCTTTTGTTTGTGTGTGTGCTTTTAATCCATCCTCAGCAGGCAGAGGTAGGTACATACCAAGTTCCAGGCCAGCCACACATACACAGTAAGCCCTGTCTCAAAAACTGAAATGTGAATGAATGTGTTGCTTGAGGAAGAGGGAGCGAGGGAGGGAGGGATCAGTGCTGCTTGAGGCAAGTGTGGTGTCTCATGCCTATATCCCATTTGAGGCGGGGGTATTGCGACATACCTCAGGTTAGCCTGGGCTGCACAGGGAAACCTTGTCCTTGACAGATGCATTCATGCACACATACCTAAACGAACTGTGTAGCTGAATGGTACAGCGTGCACTTAGCACATGCAAGGCCCTGGGTTCTGCTGCAGCCCCAGTGCACAGTGGGGAACACGCCAGTCCCATGTGCCATGTGCTCATGTTTGCCTGTGCTGTTCGGTATTGAGTGTCTTTGTGTAGTGGGTGTTTCTCTGTAGGCCCCGGAGACTTCTTATTCTCGGTTTCCTTTACTCCACACTTCCCATGCTGCTTCCTCTGGGCCTCCTGACTCCTCTGCCTTCTTCCCAGTGTCCTCTCTGCCTGGAAATCCCACCTGTTTCCTACTATTGGCTGTTCAGCTTTTTATTAAACCAGTCAGAGTGAGACATCTTCACAGTGTACAAAAAGATTATTCCACAACACTGTTAAAATAGAATGGACCCTGATGTGAGGCCCAGTGCAGGGGCATCAACCAGGAAGACTAAAGCAGGGGTCGCTTGAGCCGCGTAGTTAAAGGGCAGTATGGGCAGCATAGACGTGCCCCCATCTGAAAACATGAGTGAGGCCTGTTACTTCCTGTTAATATTTGCTTATGTCTTACATGTGAATGAATGTCTGTATGTAGACATATGTGCATATGCCGTTGCTGGTCAGCAGAGGGCACCAGGTCCCCATGAACTGGAATTACAGGCAGCTGTGAGCTGTTCAGCGTAAGGTCCTCTGCAAGAGCAGCCAGTGCTCAGCCATAAGCCATCTCTGCCGCCCCAGCTTCCGCGTGTGGTTGCCTTCACAGTTGCTCTCTGAAGCCGCTGGTCAGGGACTCCTTGGCCTTTACAAAGCATTCCTAGCTATGAGCCTTCTGGAGTCTCTGGAGTTGTGTAGTGGATTCTTACTCCACATATAGTGCTGAAGGACCACAGCCCAAGAGAAAGCCTGAGTGAGGATCTCATCCACACACTGAAGCCACACCCTAAGACTGGTACCTCAGTACTGTAGGCGGGACAAGATGCCACTGCGGAGTTGTTTAGAACGCCTCACCCTCTGAGGCGGACGCTCTCCCGGTTTGCTTTCCTCTCCCAAGCGAGCGAGGCCTTTCACACAGCACTGGCCCTCAGTTTGCCCGCCCTTGGGGTCAGGCCACTCTGGGCTCTTGTCATCACACGCATGATCAGCTCAGCTTTGGAGCTGGTGTACCGGTTTCTAGACGTGGCTGCCTGTGAGGTGACTGAGCCCCACTGCCCCCTGGTGGAGACCTGACGCATCCCGTGTGTTTGCCCTTCTGTCTCCGTAGGCTGAACAGGGCCAGTCAGACCTACTTCTTCCCTATTCACCTGACGGATCAGCTGCTTCCCAGTGCTGTGTTCTACGCCACCCTGGGGCCACTGGTGGTCTACCTGGCAATGCACCGCCTCATCATCAAACCATACCTCAGGGCTCAGAAAGAGAAGTGAGTTCGCACTAAAACCTCTGCCTTACTCATCTCTAAACTGGACAGATGACTGGAAAAATACAAGTTAATGCTGTGAAAGTGTTAGGCATGCCCTCTGGGTCCTGACAGGTCCAGTCCCTGTTGGCCAGCTGCGGCAGTGGGGAACCGTGTTGTCCCTCTGGCCAGGCAGTCCCCACCCTCACAAATGACTTGATTTGCTTCATGAAAGCACTAGGGCAGAGCTAGCTTTGAAGTTTCTTGTAGGGAGCCCCTCAGCCAGAACTGAGTCCCAGCATCCCTCGAAACCAAGTGACGGGGAGGCCCTTGGTCAGCCTTGGGGACCCCGGGGCACTAAGCTTGAGCCCCCTTGTAGCTGCCTGTGACCTCTGTTCTTACTACCACGTAGGGACTCAGTTCCCACAATGTTTAAGACCTGGAACAGAGAATGAGCCCATGTGACAGCACTGTGGGCTGACCCTGTCCCTCTACTTTGCTATAGGAGGAGCGGGTGTTTCTGTGCACCCAAAATAGTCTGAATTGCCTCTGCCTGCTGGAGTCTTCCCCCAAGGAAAAGCAGTTCAGGAGGTTCCATGGAGGAGGTGGACAGGGAAGGTGACCCCAAACTAAAGGAAGATGCGCAGGCCCACAGCTCACAGGCTGGCCTGGGGTTGCTTTGGAAGTATCTTTTAAGTTCTAGAAGTAGAAATCCAGTTACGATCACAGACTGCATGCTGGGCTCAGGCCAGCAGGGGGCGCAGTTTGCTCGCCGCTCGCCGTAGAGTCACTTGTGTCCTGCTTGCTTCTCTCTGAAAGGGAACTGGAGAAGCAGAGGGAGAGCACAGCCAGCGACGTCCTGCAGAAGAAGCAAGAGGCAGAGGCTGCTGTGAGTGTCCCGCTGCTGTGCAGGGCGCGGAGCCCAGGGAAGCCCTCCTCCCTGCCCCTCCTCCACCCGTCCCATCCTGCTCACACTGGGACTGAGGAAACTCCTTTACCCTCCAGTGTTGACCCCAGAGCCCAAGGGCTTCCCCTCCCTGCCGTGAGCTAAGTAGACCCCTCCAAAGGCCTGACGAGGCTTAGTCGACTGGCAGGGTGTCGTCTTCTCCCTCTGTGTACCTGCCCGTTACCGGAAGTGGGGGAGCAGAAGCATCATGGCTGGCTAGCAGGGTACCGTGGGGTTCTTGTGAGCAGAGGAAGGACTACAAAATCACACAGCTGAGACTGTCCCCAGGCAAACATGCACATTTGGGGGCAGCACACAGCCTTCCCCGGTTGAATGGCTCCACAGAGAACACAGGTCCCTCGAGAAAGGCCCAGCTGCTCACTTGAAGTGTCTGTTCTGAGGCAGGATCTCACTGTGTGTTCAAGATGACCTCATACTTATTGTGTAGCCCAGGTTAGCCTTGAAATGCATCACTATGTTCACTTTATTTAAATACTGACTGTATGTTCAGTAGTTTCCTGTCTATTACATGTATGTGCCTAAGGAAAGGTGCTGCCCTTTGTACTGGGGTCATTGTGTGGGGTCATGCCTCGTCTGGTGACTCCCCAGAAATTCCCCAAATAGGGCTGAGGGCTTCAAACCTTCTGGTGGGTCAGCTGAGCTCAAGGCATGTGCCCCTTCCCCTGAGCCCCTGAGCAGGCATCTTGATATAAACACCAACTGGGTGTCTGTTTGGCGTCTGACCAAACCCAGTCCCGAGTCCCCGACTTGTTCGTCCTCTCTCAAAGGTTCGGCTGATGCAGGAGTCTGTCCGGAGAATAATCGAAGCAGAGGAGTCCAGAATGGGTGAGAAGGCGGCCCCTCTCTGGCTGGGCTGGGCTGGGTGCTGGGCTGGGCTGGGTGCTGGGGTTTCAGATCTTCAGAGGGCAGCGGCAGGACAACCTGTGTCAGCCCCGCGTCTCTGTGGACAGGGCTCATCATCGTGAACGCCTGGTACGGGAAGTTTGTCAACGACAAGAGCAGGAAGAACGAGAGGGTGAAGGTGATCGATGTGACCGTGCCTCTGCAGTGCCTGGTGAAGGACTCCAAGCTCATCCTCACCGAGGCCTCCAAGGTACACAGCCAGGCCTGGAGTGGCTATTACTCAGAGTGCCTGGACGGCTTCTGTGCTGGAGCCGCTGGCTGCTTCCATGGGCCCTGAAATCCGCCAGATGCCACCAAGCAGCCTGCACCTGTCTACAAGTTCTGGAGATAGGGTATAGACTCGTCCAGTGATGTCTAGTGGGCTTCAGGCTGGGCGTGAGAAGGGGCCTGAGGGCCAGTGTAGCACTCAAGTAAAAACTGGTTCTCAGTCTTCTTCATGCTCCTCATCCACGCGTGCCCAGTTGGTGGCGCAGGCGGGCAGCGCAGGCCTTGGGCTGACCCTCTGTTTGTTGCAGGCTGGGCTGCCAGGGTTTTACGACCCATGTGTTGGGGAGGATAAGAGTCTGCGAGTCCTGTACCAGTTCCGAGGCGTGCTACACCAGGTGATGGTGCCTGACAGCGAGGCCCTGCGGATACCAAAGCAGTGTGAGTAGCTGTCCCGGGGTGTCGCCTTCCCTGTACAGGCTCATCGGTTGCAGCTGAATTTGGGAGGTGACCTGTATTGTCCCTTGTCACAGATGGAATTAGACCCCGCTCTTGGCCAGGCAGGGCCTGCAAGCACCCAAGAAGCTCAGTAGGAATGGCTTCCAAGTCACCCTGGGCTACATAGTGAGGCACATCTCAAAACAAATATCTAGCTGGGTAGTGGTAGTGCAAGCCTTTAATTAATCCCAGCACTCAGGAAGCGGAGGCAGGCTGGTCACTATGAGTTCAAGGCCAGCCTGGTCTACAGAGAGTTCCAGGACAGCCAGAGCTACACACAGAAACCCTGTCTCGAAAAACAAACAGGAAAGTCTAGAGAGCTGGCTCAGCAGTTGAGAGCACCTGTTGTTCTCAGAGCACCCAGGTTCAGTTCCCAGCACCCACATGCTGGTTCACAAGCCTCTGATTGCAGTGTCGTGAAGCTGATGCCCCCTTGTGACCCTGCGCACTAGGCATGCATGGATGTGGTGCACATATATAACGTTCAGGCAGAACACACACACATTTTAAGGGTGAGTGACTGTATGGAGCAGAGACAGCTGCTTCACGTTGAGTGTGGAGAAGCTGGGGGGGGGGGTGCGCTCTGAACCCCAGGCCAGCCAGGGCTACTTAGAAAATAGAAAACCCTGCCTCCCAAGACAGGAAGAGCCGCAGCTGCTGCTCCTGGCCCGGCCGCGCTGCGGGAGGGGGTGCCCGCCTGTCTTCCCTGCCCTGACTGCTTTTCTCCAGCTCACAGGATCGATACAGACGGGTAAACTGCTTGGGAACCTGAGCAAAAAGAGGCTACAGAATATTCTCCTGGGAGTCTACAGATTTGGAAGCAGGGAGACCCAGACATGAGATGTTTTTAGTTTATTCCTCAAGAAGGTGGCACTGTATCAATTATGTGAAGGGACATGCAGACAGCCTAGCTTCGTGGGTGCTGTGGGTGAGCACTGAGGCGCCCCACCCTGGCCAGGCCACAGCACGGCCATCTCTTCCCCAAGGATCATGTTCCTGGAGGGCAGGGCCCCAGCTGACTGCTTGGGTCACCCCACCCCTGCTCCTCCTCAGGAGTGGCCACGCATAGCAGCTCTCTGGAGTTATTTGGAACATTCTACGGTCACACATGGGACTGCTCTTCCTGAAGTCCACGCTGCACATGGGAAACATGGAAAGGAAGGGAGGTGTGTCACGCTGCTCCGTCCCACGAGCCACCCTTCTCTTCTGGAACATTGCAGAGTGGACTGAAGAGGACTGTGGGTCTATAAAACTGCTTTTTATCTGCGAACAGAAGGATTGGGAACTAGTCTTTCTTTCCTCTTCCAGAGCTTCTCAAGTCATTCCTCCAGGCCCTGGCTTGGGACAGAGGGGGACACCCCAGGTCCCCCGGCACACTATCCAGGCACACTGCTAAGAGACCCTGGTACCGGTGGCCCCTTCACCACGGAACACCTGCCCTGCCTTGCCTGCAGCCGCTCCCCTAGTGGATGGTGTTGGAAGGAGGGGAGCTGGGTGCCTTTCGAGTATTGGAGGCTAAAGCCTGGGTGTGGACCCAAGGCTGGCCCATGTGCCTGTACCTCTAGTGAGTGCCCAGCAGGTGGTGCTGTTGCTTGCCAGGCCAGGCCCTCCAGAGCACCTTCCAAGGGCTCTGTTCCCAGACCCCTTCTGTTGCAAACTTGCTGGATGTCACTGCAAGTTCTACCCCACTGAGCAGGTGTTAACACCCGCAGTGATCCCCCAGCAGTAACTGCTAAAGGCAGGCATTTCCTCCCCGTTCTCATAACCCTTCCATTTTTAAAAGCAGCTCAGTTCTGTAATTTTAACTTTTTTCTTTAAGAGGATGTTTCTTTGCCCCAGATTGATGTGCAGTTTGCACTGTTGCATGAGCCCAACTCAGTGGCCTATGGCTCCCTGGGCAGTGCTGCCCTTCTGTGTGACGCTGACGGGCAGCACTGCCCAACAATAAACCTGACCTGAAAGCTGAGTCCGCGTTTGTGCATTGGTGTGCGTGTGTCAGGAAGGAACCGTGGTCGGCTGTGATGCCCTGGGCCTTTCCTCATCCCTGATGCTTCAGCTCAGACCATTGGCTGCAATGGGAAGCCGTGGTTCCATTCTGTGCTAAATGTTTGCCTGAGATACAGAACCTCGAAATAAGGAAATCAGATGTAAGCGCTTGTGTTTGCTTTTTAATTGTGGTCTGGCTGTGTGGTCTAGGCTGGCCCAGAACTCATGGTCCTCCTGGGCCTCCTGAAGGCTGGGTGACAGTGTGATCTCTAGTGGGTACTCTGATTGCTTTCACATCTTAAGTATTCCTCGTGTGTATGGGTCTGTTTGTTTAATTGATTTTCGACACAGGGTTTCTCTGTGTAGCTTTGTAGACCAGGCTAGCCTCGAACTCACAGAGATCCCCGAGTGCTAGATTTAAATCGTGCACCACCACTGCCCGGCTGTGTATGTGGGTATTTTGCCTGAATGTGTGTACCACCATGTGTTTACACCCTCAGGGATCAGAAAGGGCAAAGAAGCCCCTAGAACTGGAGTTACAGATGGTGGTGAGCCATCGTGTGGGTGCTGGGAACTAAGCCTTGACCCTCTCTGAAAGAGCGAGCAGCAAGGACTGTACCCCACCCCGCATCGATCGACGGTTACTTTAGTCAGTTCTCTAGTCACACCCTATGTGTCCCGCATCAGGGAAAAGAACACAGAGGTCAAAGAATTTATTCTATGTTTACACAAACCAGGCCAGAAAGGGTCGCTCAGAAATACAGGCTGATGTGGGGGACCCTTGCACTGGCATCAGAGTGGCTCCCCTGGAGAGGTGACAAGGACCCCACAGGCAAAACATCCCTGGAGGTAGTGAACTGCAAGAATGGCCATCTCTGACAGGGCTGTGACAACTCCTAACATTTGGTCACTGTTGCAGGACAGCCCCCACAGCTGCCATCCTCAGCCCAGGAGGATTGTGCCTCTCACTCCCCAGGGTCCCCCGCCCCCGAGGACCGCCTGTCATGGCATCCCATCCCGCCAGTCCCAAGGCCCCTGCAGGGTTAGCGGGTAATGCACACAGCATAGCAGAGAACCACTTCCTGCCAGTGTTGCCGCCGTCCCCACGACCAGGGCTTGCTCAGCCTCAGCTCCGCTGCGCCGGTGCCGGCCGCCTGGCCCGTGGTCCCCGCTGCCCCTCTCTGTAGGCTCGCAGGCGGCTACATGTCCTCCGAAGCAGCAGCCTCTGCGCCCTCAGGCGCTTCCGGAGCCTCTTGTTCTCCTTCAGCGTGAAGAAGAGTTTCTTTTTCAGGGTATCCAAGTCCAAAAGGGCGTAACTGTGGTCAGACGGCTGTCCCCGAAGGGGCCTTCTCAACCCCGTGGGGCTGGCTGGGAGGCCGGGAGCCTCCATTGCTGCTCTCTCTGGTGAGGCCTGAGGACAGAGGTCAGGGAGTACTAGACTGAGAGCTGTCCAGGTGGCCCTGTGTCCCCAGCAAGAAGGTGTCTGAGCTGGGGTCACAAATGCCCATTACCCTTGGGGTTTGGCCCCAGCCCTGTTTCCCCTTGTGAAAGCCTGGCGATGCTTGACCGCCATCTTGGTGGTCCTAGGAGAGGCTCTGAAGTCCTGCCACCTATCCAACTGCTCCTGTTCTGGGTTACTTCGGAGACCAGCCTGCAACCCGGGGTCTTACCTGTTTCTCGGGGCCTTCAGTGTCTGGAGACTCAGACTCTTCCACTGCGCTGTCCCCACCAGCCCCCACCTCAGGACCGACCTGGGAACAGCAGGCGGAGTCAGGCTGGCTGAGCTGGCAGACACAGGATCCTCACACAGCTGCCACTGTCCATCCCTGAGTAATCCCTGTGTGGGGGCTACAGCCAAGTCCTGTGCATCCACAGTCAGAGCCTGCCTGGTTGTCCCACCAACTCCAGGACTACAGCCTCTGACCCATTGAGGTCTGGTGCCAGAGGACGGGGAAGCCTGAGGCCACAGCTTCCCCCTGAGAGCAAGCATCCTGAACTCAGACCTAATACTCTGCTTTGTCTTCAAACTGTCTGACTCCCAGTGTTTACCGAACTCAAGCTGTGCCTGCACTGCCTGGCTGGGAGCTGCTCTCCGTCACACCCCTGGGGTGTATGGAGAGCCCCTGTGCTCACCTCTGAGAGGCAGCATCTCCTCTCTCTCCCTCACCAGCCTCAAGACTCAGCCCTGGTTTAGGCAGGACACAGTGGGACCTAACAATGGGCCAAAAGTGGGCTGGGGCACCCAAGTCAGCTTAACGACACCCACTGAATCCAGCTGCGTTCACTCCTGCTTTCACTAGATACTTCCTTCCCGAAATCCTGGGTCGGTGGCACCGGAACAGGTCCCCACAGCTCCAAGGGACCTGAATCATCAGCATCATCTGGGAGCCTGGAACCATCCTCGGTGAACATCGGCCCCACTGTGCCGTGCAATCGAATGGTTATGTGGCTCTAAGTCCCTCTACCTGCTGGCAGTGCCCACGGTGGCCACCTGCAGCTTCTTGCCACCTTTCCCTGGGGGCGCTGAGGACTGTGGAGTGGCCTCCCGAGGCGCCTCAGATCTCTTCCAGCCTCTGTCCACTGTCCCTGATCTTTCCTCCACCTCTGAGCTGTCTCCCTCCACCACGGCCTGGCCTGGAGCACACTGCATACCTCAGGCTGGAATTTGTGGCAATCCGGCCTCTGCCTTCTATGTGGCGAGGTCACAGGAATGCACCGGCACACCTGGGTTTTTTGTTTGTTCTTGTGTTCCTCAGACTGGCCTGAAACCAAGGATGCCTGACCTTCTATCTTCCTGCTTCCCTCCACCTCTGGAATGGCAGGATTGCACACATGCACAAACAGCCCAGACTCTGTGCAGTGCTGGGGATGTAGCCTGGTGCTTTGTACATGCAAGCCCCCTTCCCCAGGCTCCAGCATGAATGCTTTAATGTTAAAGAAGCTTTCAATTAATTTTTTTTTGGGGGGCAGGGTCTCATGTATCCCAAAGTGGCCTTACCCTCCAGCCCTCTGGCTCCAAATTCTGGGATTACGAGCCTGCACCACCATAGTTTATGCCATGCAAGGGCTGCCATCATAGGCCAGTACTCTTCCTTACCAACTGAGCTACGCCCTCAGCCCAGCTTCAGCTTCCTTTTAGCTCCCTGCTCAGCACACACAGACAGCCGCACTGTCTGGATGTCGGACCAGCACCCTACCTGCGCGGGGTCCTGAAAAGCAAACACAGTGGGCACAGCATTGAGTTTGAGGTTCTTGCGGTTCCCGAAGGCGCTGAAGCACTCGGGTCTGAAGTGCTCGGAGCAGATGACTGTGTGTTGCTTGGGCTTGAAGTTGGCCCGGCCCATGTTGAGCACCCACTCCTTGAGCAGCTCCGGGCGGCTGAATGGAAACCTATGTGCACAGCATTCCACGGCTCAGCTTTGGGGACTCAGTAATCCATTTTGTTAACCCTACCTAACATCCACACGCTCTCACCATGGCTGTTAATCCGCATGTATGTGAAACCCAGGATTACAAACGTGGTAAAAGGAGCCCAAGAGAGCTATGCTTCCAAAGCATATGCCAGGAGTCTCCCGTTCCTTCAGGAGCTCACCACTGGCCAGGCCCTGATTTCCTGCCAAAACATGGAGACGGGGAGTAGGACCAAGTCCCTGCCTTTTGGAGCCTACATCCCAAACAGCAGCAAACCAGGCTGAGGCGAACAGTGTGAGGACAGGAGCAGCTGAAAACAAAATAGGAAGAGGCCTGTGGTGGCCAGCCAAGACGGACAGACGGACCCTGCAGCAAGTAGGGAGACAAACCCTGGGGCCGCTACAAAGGGATGGGCGGGGGTCGGGGACCTGGTGGAAGAAGGACCACATGACAGGGCTTTATTTAGATAGCTGGGGCCGCTCTGAGGTTCTGGATGAGGGAAGGAGAGGAGGTCTGCGTCCACCCAAAATGCAGTGCGAATGGTTGACCAGGAGAAAGCAAAGCAGTACCAGACAGAGTCTGCGATCACAGCAAAAACAACCACCAAAGAAAGCTAGGTGTGATGGCACACATCTTGATAAAGGCGGGTGACTCTCTGAGTTGCAAACCAACCTCATCTACATAGCAAGTTCCAGGCCAGCCAAGGGCTTTTCTCCAAGAAAAAAAAAAAAAAAAAAAAAAAAAAAAGTAAGGCAGGTATCAAGTTTGCCTGTGGGGCATCAAACCGTGGAAAGGAAGGAGCTTCATGTTTGCCGTGGAGGTTTGTGTGGATGGAAGTGTGAAATGTTAGAGTTCAAGGTGCTCTTTGTTCTGCCAAAGTACAGCAATGGCAGATGGGCATGTGTGCCTGGGATGTCCCGGCAGAGCCTGCCAGCACTCTGGAAGAGGCTCTGGACGACTCCATCTTGAACATGTCAACACAGTGTGGAGTTGGGAGGACAGTAAAGGGAGAGTCCATGACAAAGGTCAAAATGTGCCTCAGGACACACGTGGGAAGAAGCCCAGCCCAGCCAAAAGCGAGCAAGAACTCAGACCAAGGCAGATGGCATGGAAGTACAAGCAGGTCCTGGGCATGATGGGGTTTGCCTGGAATCCCAGCAGGAGGGTCCAGTTCAAACCCAGCCTGGGCCACACGAGACCTCCGCTCTCAAGACAGCAGGAGCCACACTGCCTGGAAAAAGGACACACTAAGGCAGAAGGCAGGGGCAAGGACGCAGATGAGCAGCCAACGCAAGGGTTGCACACTTGAAAAATGCGCCTACCGGTATATGCAATGACTATATGTCAATAAAAACATCTTAGAGGCAGCAAGATGATTCAGCCGGTAAAGGCACCTGTTGCCAAGCCTGATGGCTTGAGTTCAATCTCCAGGATATATATGGTGATAGGATTAAAACCAACCCCTAAAAGTTGTCCTACAACTTCCACTCATACACTGTGGCACATGCACCCACACACAAATAAATAAAAACTTAAAAATAAAAAGCAAGAGTGAATGGAGGTGACTATCCCCGAGTATAGGGCACATGACCAGGAGGCACAGGTCCCTTGGTAACAGCCCATGCAGCTACCAAGAGGCCCTTCATTTGGAGAATATAAATTCTGGTAGGTGATCAATGGGATACTGCAGAAACCAAGGCAATAGGGCGTGTGGGGCAAGGGTGACTCTCACATACTGCCCCGAAGGTAGAAAAGCACACGCTGTGATCCCATTACTTAAGGCTAACTCTGGCCAGAGCGATCCACTGTACAGACACACTATCTCCCTCCCTGTGGGCAGGCGGGAAGAGACTGCGTGGGTGCCAGTGGAGATTCTTCTGTGGCTGCCAACTGATGTGTGCATTTCTCTGCGGTTGCTACTCTTCAGTAGAAGCACTGAAACAGTGTACGGGGTGGCGGGGGGGAGGCGAGGGACGCAGAACCCAGTGCGTGCGGGCTGCCAGGCTGAGCTCGGGGAACCGTGCACTGCAGGCACAGGCATCGCTTGAAGCTCTAGCCTTGAAGGGTGCTTCCCTGGAAAAGGCTACGCACGAGTTGGGCTGGGGAAAGGAGTCCTGGGACTACATGGCCGGGTATCCGCCACCTTCCCACGACCGAAGTCCCTGCCATGCGGCCTGGCCATCCTGAAGGGCGCTCATTCCTCCAGGCCATGTACCTCTGCCTGGGCCTCCCTCGAGGTGACGCAGGCGGCATGGGGCCAGAAAAAGGACACGGCCAGTCACCTCCCACGCTCAGCCTGTTCACACTGAGCACCTAATGCTTCCAGGCGAGATGGGTCAGCCCAAGCCTGCACCAAGAGGGGCTTGCGGGGCTCAGGCTTTGAGGCTAAGGGCGCATCGCTGACGCCCTGGCCGTCCCCTCCTTGCAGTCCCTGTCCACTTCACCCGCACACCCTGGGTCTCCCGGGGCTCCCGCCCGGTGCACTGGGGCCTGTGAGAGCTCCATAGGTCTGGTCCCGGTCTCCCATTCCTCACCGGTGGAAGGTGAGCTGCTTCCTGCGGCTACTGTAGCGGTTGCAGCATTGCCTGGCTGCACAAGACTTCGGCATCTCGGAGACGGGCCGGCTGCCCCTAACAAAGATGGCGGTGCGCGGCCTCGGGGGCGGAGCTTGGGGGCGGGGCCTGCAAGTGCTGGGACCCAGCTCGCTTAACTCCAAGAACTTAAGCCCAGTTAACCTTAGAAACACGGACCAGAGAAGGTGTGGACCCTCGACCCGGCTAATAGTTTAAAGCTCCCCAGGTAATAGGTAAGCAGTTAAGGGGATTGGGTCTGCCTGGAACTCATGAGACACCCTTATCAATCTCCCAGATAAGGTTTGCATCCATTGGATTCTTCCCACTGGAAACATCTCAAACTCCTATCGGCCTGCTCTGCTCTCCAAGTGCCAGGATTAAAGGCCTGTCGCCACGCTGGCCAACAAAGTCCCAATCCCAAACTTGCAGAGCCTAAAAGCTGTGGCTTGGAGAGCACAGGTTAAGTCAAGGGGTTGGGCACAACCCAACCCGAGCCACAGTGACTGAGGATACAAGGGAGCCTTTCAAATAAGTGCCCAGTGCTCTAAGAGTTAAGGGGGGAAGTGGACCAGGGGTCGCTGTCCTTCTCATCGTGTGGAATGCCACAGCCAATTCAGCTTTCCCAGAGCCACCACCTGGGCAAGTGATAGAAAAGACAGTGTCCTTCAGCACAGGACACCAATCTCAAAGTAGCAATATCTTTATTTACAAAATATACAGTTTCACAGAAACAGCTTGCTTTATACACATAAACTTTGTAATTACACAGAACCATGTAAACGATGTTGTGTCTGGCCTGGCCAAAGCTGACAGGAGGGGTCTACCTTGGGGGTGAAACCATTCCCTCCCCTCACATCATTAGCCGCCAACCAGGAGCCCCTAGAAGGGCCATGCCCAGTTTGCATAAAGAAGCTGATTACAGCTGCCCAGCTCAATCCACCCCCAAACCAAGGTGTCCAACCCCCGACACCACCCACAGGGAAAGACCCCCTTAAACACAAAGCAAGCAAACAGAAATAGAGATGAGTGTCAACATATCCCAGAGGCGTCCAATCTCTGAGCACACACAACAATGGCCAGCTACACCGGTCCACAACAAAACCACATTCTCAAATGCACTTTAAAAAAAAAAAAACTACTGGAACTTTGGTTATTCTCAGGGTGAAGACACTGGACAAGTACTGTCATGGGGCAGGTCTTTGGCAAATCCCTCCAACTTGTCCTGGGTATTTACTCCAGTCAGAGCCAGACAATAGCCTGGGGACAAGAGTTTCTGGAACAGCTCCTTCTCTGTAATGGAGTTCTCCCTCGAGATCTACACAACCAACTGAGCTTCAGCAATGAGTGTTTCTCTGTACTTTAATATGAGCAACAGGATTTTAAAAACATGAAGCTGACATCGTTACTTAAACTGAACAAGTGTGAAAGATACTGACCCCCTCCCAAAAGCTCCGATTAACTAAGTTATAGTCTGAGCTCCTTTGGAGCGAGAGCCTGGTGACCCTGCCAAGGTGGCCCACAGGGACACTTCCCCGTCTCGTACCGCCTAAAGCGATCTTAGGAAATCACTGCTAGAACAGGCTTTGGAAGCACTGAAGAGCGATGACCACTTGGCTCTCCGTTCCAGTTCTAGGACCACCAGTGTCTCTCGGGTGCTGAGGCAGCCCTCACCCAGACCAGGGCTGTGGTTCACACCTTTGAAACTGCAGTGTTGCAAGCTGATGTTTTGGTACTAGCGCAAACCCTTGTCTTACCCCAGGAACCTAGCAGGAGGCCAGACACTGCAGAGTGCCCTCGGGTTCTTTTTAACTATTCTATAAAGAATAGCACACAGGCCCCAAGGACAGCTGCATCCGTGGGATGCTACTGAACAGCTGAACAACAGAGAGCCAATGCTTCCACACGGGCGGAGGAGAGTGCTGGGCACCCTAGGACATGGACCGCCAATGGCAGAGAAAGGGCATCCAGGAAGACACTGGCCAATACTTTGGGCTGTATTGTACGGAAAAGAAAATGGTTTTTACATCGTGCAAAACAAGAAACTTAGTTATGAACACAGGACACCTCCACCCCCAACCCCCGCTCTGTGGAGAAGCGGCTACATACTGTCCCTTCAAACAAACAGTGAAAACCCACCACCAAGGGCTCCTCTTGGAGACAGCAGGCCTCTAAGGAAGCAGCTCCCTAGCCTAACTGAATCAGGGGCAGAGATCACAAAGGGGCAGGCAACTTGGACGGCTGCTGTATAGACACTTGTGATAGAAGACCAACACTGGAGAATAAACACAGGCCAGGGAAACAGAACAACTCCACTCCTGAACAGAGGAGACGGGATGACAGCTAGCACCGGCTCCCTCCCAATGGTGGGAACTGGCTAACAAGGCTGTGTGTGCCCAGACTCTCGGCTGAAGCAGACTTGGTCTCAGCCTGCCTCCAATGCAGGACACAGCGGCAGCAGCTCTGACACCATTTTATCTGCTCACTGGCTATGTACAGTTTTATCTGGACAGCTAGTCCTCTGCTTAGGCACCTGAGTGGCAGGGTCTGCCCACACCAGAGCTATGAGTTCTGTGTTCAACCAAGGGAGGCCACAGAGCCCACACCCTTCAGTCCCGCCTATCTCCTTGCCAGCTCCGAATCAGTCCAGAAACAGCTTCCGGGAGCCCATTCGGGAACGATTGGAACGGCGAATATCAAACTTGGAGTCCCGGCACTTTTGGCAGACAAACACTTCCGGAACATTGGACTTGCGGATCTTTGCACAGGACAGATGGATCCAGGTGTGGCACTCGTTACACTCTATCATGGGACGGCCAGCAAAGGGCTTCATGCAGAAACAGGTGACAAGATCCCAGGAGTCGTCATCTGGAAGGAAAAGGAAACGAACAGTTGAGAAGTGGGGCCCTCCTGAGGCCTACTTGCCTGGGGGACTGCACATCCAGGACACACAGAGGCCCTTGTGGCCAAACCATCATCACTCCAGCGACATGAGCTGAACTGCTCCTTCCGGGAAGGCAGCACCCACATCCCAAACGGCGCTGAGCTCCATCTGGGGGCCACACCACTTGGCCCTCAGGCTTGCAGAGAAACTGTGGGCTGTGTCCAGGAGCTAGCAGCCCTTTCATGAGCACCTCTCTGCCCTTCCACACTTCCCCCTTTCGAAGATCCTAAGTGCACTTGGACCCCACCGCAAGGGCCCGAGCCCTCTACTCAGCCACTCACCTGAGTCTACCATGATGTCCTCATCATTGCCTGTGCTGTCCTCATCTCGGAACACGACCTGCTTCCCCTGCCGGACAATAGTCCGTTTGCCTTCAGTTTTTATCTCTTTAACCTGGTCAGGTGACACAGTGGCACAGGAGCCACTTGACGGGGTGTCAGAGTCCCAGCCTGAGCAGGGGTCAGCAGAGGCCTGGGGAAGCCCCTGCATGGTGGGACTCGCGGGGGCCTGCACATATGCGTCCGCAGCTTCCAGCTTCAGCAAGCCGGCTCGGTACCCATCCTTCACAGCCACGTCGCTGCCTCTTCGCTTCCTCTTCTTCTTCTTCTTCAGCTTGTCAGTTTTCTTCCTGTCCAGCAGGAAGTTGCTGGGCTTCGCTCGCTGCAAGAGGGAAGGCTGCAGGTGGCTGAAGCAGCGGTCCGACACCGGCAAGGGCACTGAGGGCGTAATGTCAGAGAAGCCAGTATCCCAGCCATCACTGTCGACGGTGCCAGCGGTACTGTTGGCAGGGCTAGGGCTGCTCCTCAAGGGGAGCTCCTGAAACAGTGACAGGAGCAGTTAGTCGTTAACCACTCTCCAGGCTGCAGACCCTCCCCCAGCAGACGCTGGGCTCTAACCAGCACCAACTGGTACAAGCACTAAGGTGCCAGCAGACCAGGAGAGTACACCTTCCCTCAGAGATGTCCCTGCCCAGAGCCAGGGCAGTGCTCATAGTTAAACGCTGCAATCTGGGGCTGGAGTAGCAGAGTGCTCGCCTAGCATGCAAGGGAAGGGCCGTGAGTGCTTCCCACCCTCCAAGGTCTGACACACTTCCACAGACATCAATCAGCTCACAGTTTTAGTCTTCCCTGAAGAAGGAAGAGTACCCCTACATTTGTCCTAATAGGCAGGTTTTTTCTTATGTTTTCTCTCTCTCTCTCTCTCTCTATTTTTTCTTTTTCTTTCTTCTTTCTTCTTTTTTTTTTGGAAAGAGCTTCTCTGTGTAACCCTGGCTGTCCTGGAACTCAGTTTGTAGATCAAGCTAGCGTTGAACTCAGAGATCCACCAGCCTCTGCCTCTCAAATGTTGTTGGAATTAAAGGTGTGCGCCACCATGCCTGACTCCCAAAGGTTATTTTTTAGTCAAGTGAATTTAAGCTAGAGTCAAATTTTTGACCTTCTTTAAAAACAAAACAGAAAACAGCTGGGCATGGTGGCACATGCCTTTAAGGGAGATAGGCAGATCTCTAAGTTCAAGGCCAGCCTGGTCTACAGAATGAGTTCTGGGACAGCCAGGACGACACAGAGAAACCCTTCTGGAAAAAGAAAAGAGAAAAACAAACAATCCTGGAGACATCCCAAAATACTTCAAAATCGAAGTAGATAACGAGTGCCCCTAAAGAGCAAGCTGAGTGCTGCAGTCTGTACCATTCCAATTATTCACTAGGACCGGCAATCTATGTGGTACAAAGTATGCACTGTACAGCAAGTAAGAGTAAATCCATGCCAGGACTTCACTTCCCAAGACACCAGGTTCCCTATGCAGCTCAGTGTGACATACACAGGGTCTCAGCAGTCTAGACCCCGCAGGCTGACACCCGCCCCTCCGTCAAGGAAAAAAGCTCCCTCAAAACCCAGTTATCTGCTATTCCCAGCAACTAGGCAAACCCTGAATCCTCCAGCAAGAGTGTCTTTCTCCTCTCTCATCTTCAAAGCAGAGAGGACAAAGAACAGCACTTGGTTCATTCTTCCTAAAGACAGTCAGCCTAGCCACTCAAGTACTGGCCCTGTTCAAAAAACAAATAAAGCAGACGATAACCAGCTATGCATTGGATTGTTGTATTACTGCTGTTACTACTCTCTGGAAACAGGGTCTCACTCTGAAGCTATGCTGGCTTGGAATTCACCATTTAGCCCAGGCTGGCCCCAAACTTTAAGCAAACCTCCTGCCTCATCCTTCTGAGTGTGGGGATTTGAAGAGTGAATGTTGAGGCCAACCTCATCTACTGAGAAAGTTCCAGAACAAGCTCCAAAGCTGCAGACTAATCCGGGAGTGGAGTACAGGTGGGAGATGAGGTTAAAAGTAAATGATTGTTAAAAGTTCGCTAAATCAATCAAAAAGCCAAGTGTGGTGGCACACACCTTTAATCCCAGCAGCAACAGACAGGCATGTGTATCTCCTGAGTTTGAGGCCAGCCTGATCTATAGAGTGAGTTTCATAAACAGCCAAGGCTACATAGAGAAACCCTCCCTGTCTTGAAAAACCACAAAATAAATAAAATGAAAATCCATTTGTTAACTCATTTCTAGACAAATCTACTGAAGCTTTGGAATCAGTTCTCTGGATCCCTCTAGGCCCCAAAGAAAGCGATCCCTGTCATACTATTGCCGGGGCCTGGCACCAAGTGCTCCCAGACCTGAGACTGGCGAAGCACCTGTACCAGGAAGCCAAGGTGCTGAGGGAAAGGGGGGTCTGACGCTCCAAAATCTGCAATTATTACCTCCTTCGGATAGGGGATGTAGCCAGCATAGGCCAAGACGAAGGTGCAGAACTTGTTGAAGTCCTCAACAGTGCGCCGTCTCTTACAACTGGGGGAGTACTCCTGTTGAGGGGAACAAAAGGTCGGTGAAGGAGACTCCAGTAGGTGAAGTCCACCAAAACAAAGCAAGCTGCAACTTTTATTGCCAACGCACACACACACACAGCAGAATTTACAGTCTAGAAACAAGATACAGTGAGTTGGGGTCAAGAAATAACTAAGTGTTCTTAAGGCAGAGAGAGGTGCTTTAAGATTCTGTGCCAAGAACCCTGGGAAACGAGAAGATAACAGCCCCTCTACAGTCCACCTCTTGGCGCTCGCCTTATCTGTTTGTCCCTGCAAGCCTATCAGGAGCTCCGACATCCACATTTTTGCTACAGATTTTCCCCTTTGAAAACAAACTGCAGCTGCGGCTCTAAACAGAAATTAAGCGATTTCACAAACCAGCTGGTCAATCTCTCCTAGCTTCCTTCTCCAAACCTGGCTCCCACGAGGCGGAGGGGGGGTGGGCGGGGGCACAGCGCCTGCAGCTCAGGGGGCACCCTCCTCTCCCGGGAGGGAGGGGCGGGGTACCGGACACCCAACTGCCCCTTGAACTGAGTCTGAACGGAGGACGTACCGCTCGGTTCAGGTGCGCACTTATTTGAGACGATGCAGTCCCAGCCGGCTCGGGGGCCATTCTCAACGGCCGGCCGCAGAGCACCCACCACAAAAAGATTTTCTCCCGAGAAGGCGGAGCATCGAAGGCTCGGGGAACATTCCCCGCGGTTGCTCCCGCAACTTGTCGCCACCCCCACCCCGAGCTCAGGTGCTCGGCCAGCTACGAGGGGGACACCGGGCTGACCGCCCGCAGCCTCCCGCAAAGGGGCGCGCGGCGCAGCACTTTCCAACGCGGTCCCAACTTGCTCCGGCAGGCCGCTCGCTCCCGCCCCTCGGCCAGCCCCGCAGGCGACCGTCAGCACAGCGGGCCGCGCGCTCCCGGCGCTCGGGCGGACACGAGGCCGCGCGACCGGGCCCCAAACTCCGGAGAACTTTAATTTCGCCCCGAGGGACGCCGCGGAGGGGGAGGGGGTCGGGGCCGCGGGCCGAGTGCGGGGCGGGCGGTGCCGCGGCGGCCGGGGACCCGCCCTCCCTCCCTCCGGAGCAGATGGCGCGCGCCTCCCGCCGCGCAGGCCCCGGAAGGTGCGGGGCCCACCCGCGGGGTGCGGGACGCCCGCGGGACCCGGGCGGCTGTCCCGGCGCCGCGCAGGCCCCCGCCGCCCGCGGCTGCGACACCGCGGCCCCTCCGCGCCGCGCCGCGCCCCGCCCCCGCCGCACGCCCCGCACCCCGCACCCCGCGCGACCCCGGCCGGCCCCAGGCGCTGCGCGGGGCCCGCTCCCCGGGAGGGGGAGGGGCGGGCGCGGGGAGCGGCCCCGAGTGCGGACCCCGGGCGCGGGCGCCGCGGGGGCGGGGCGCGGCCTGGCCGCCGGGGAGGGGGCGGCGGCCCCGCGCGCCCAGCCGTTCCCAGGGGCCGCCCCGGGGAGGCGGCGGCCGGACCCCGCGAGCCCGAGCCGGGGCGGCCGAGGGCCGCGTCCTCGGGGCGGAGGGTGGGCGCGGCGCCCGGGAGGACCGGCGGGGAGCAGCAGCGCGGGCCCGAGCCGGGGCGCCGGGCGAACGCGGGGGAGGGCGGCCGGGCTCGAGCCGGCTTCCCGGGGCGCCGCTCGGCCGGGGAGGGGGCGGCGAGGCGAAGCTCGCACTCACCTCGGGGTGGAAGGCGGCGGCGCAGGAGTCGGAGTCCATGTTCCGGGTGGGGGGCGGCGGCCGCGGGAGTGCCGAGGCCGGAGTGCGGGACGCTCGGGGCAGGGGGCTCCGGCACCGCGCAGGGCGAGGGCGGACCGGTCCAGGGAGGGGTCGCCCGGGCTGGAGGGGACGGGGGTGTCGGGGTGTCGCGTCGCGGGCTCGCTGATCCCGGACTGGAGTGTCCGCGGCGAGCCGGGCGGAGGATGCAGCTCGCGCGGCCGGTGCTGTGGCGGGGCGGGAGAGGCACTGTGGGGGGGCGGCGGCGGCGGCGGCGACAGCGAGCGGGAACCCGACCGGCTCCCCGACCTGACGCCCAGTTCGGCTCGTGTCTCGGGAGGGAGGGCGGGAGCGCTGCGAGGGTCGCCGGGAACTGTAGTCCGGGGCGGCTGGACTTCGTCAATGTGGGGGTGTGGCGCGAGCGACGCGCGGCATTGTGGGGATCGTAGTCCCTATAGAGCGGCGCCGCGGCGTAGAGAGGCGGGCTCAGAACTCCAACTCCCAGGAGGCCGCGCGGCTGCTGACGAACGCGGAGGCGGCGCTGGCAGGGCTCGGGGCCTCCGGAGCGGGGGAGGTGCGGGGGCTCCCGCCGCCCGGCCGGTGGGGGAGGGGCGGGCGAGCGCGGGGGCGGGGCCGAGCTGCGAGCGGCCTGGGTCTCGGAGGGCGGTGGCCCGGGCTCCGCTTTCTCCCGTGGGGCCTGGGCTTCGGCCTTTGTGGGGCGGGGGCGTCCCGGCGGCGGGGGCGGGATGGGGGCGGGCCTTGACGTCCGCGAGGGCGGGGCGCACTTGTTTTCGCGGCCGCGGGCGTTTGGCTGGAGGTTCCGGGCGGCCGCGGCGTTAGGCCTGCAGGGCTCACTTGTGGGCGCCCAGTGCGAGCGAGCATCGTGAGGTGGAACCGAACTCCGGCCGCCACGCGCGCCGCCTCCGGCTCGCTTTGTGTTTCCCTCCTTCGCCTGCGGCCGCGGGAAACGCTCCGCTCTGCCCCGCTCCGGAGTTGCGCTTTCCCCGGATCCGAGAGGCGGCGGGTGCGGTGCAAACGCGTGCGGTGCGTGGGCAGCGCACGAAGACCAGACCGGGGGCGCGGAAATCCGACCCGGGAGGCGTAGTGGAGCGCCTTGCTGACGTTACCGTAAGGCTGCTGTTACTGTTGTTGTTTTAACGTTAAGAGTCGTTTAGAGGGAAAAATGTACGTGTGCAAAATGCGCTTTCGGTAATAGCATATTTGGTAGCTTTAAAAGCTGTCAGAAGAGCGACACACGATTTTAAATTCGAATGAGAAAACACAGAGGAGAAAAGACGAGATCATGAGAGCCTGGGAATAGCTCCTTCGGTGATTATTGCTATTTCCCTGGTTAAGCTGATTTTTATGTCAACAGTGATTAAAAGAATAGGTTTAGCCAGGTGTGATGGCCCATTATACCCAGCAGGCCGGGGCAGGCGGGACTTGAGGCCAGCCTGGTCTACGCAGTGAATTGCTGGCCAGTCAGGACCGCATACTTAGACTTTGTGAATAAGGGCGGGGGGAGGAGGGAGACGGAAGGAAAGGGAGTTACTACTTAACTGGAGGCTAGCCTGGGCAACACGGGACCCATCATAAGGACAAAAAACGGGGTTGATCTCAGAAACCAGCCTCAATTCCCCAAACCTAAATAAAAAAATCTACTACAGTGACTCTCAATAAAGGTAGTTTACTGTTGTTGTTGTTGTTGTTGTTTTATGATTTCTGTGATATTGAAGCCCTATTGAGGGCTCCCCAGAAGTGATACACATAGGAAAGTATTACAGTGAAACCGGACTGCGGACTTAACCCGCAGGATCTTATCAGTAACTTCCCTCAGGTTAGTGGATGCAAGCAGATACAGAATTAGAATGCTCCGTGAATTCTGTGTCCAGAGCGTGTGTCTGGAGATTGACTAGTTTTGCCCATGGTCAGACTCACCTGAAGTGACTTAGTTTTCCTATATAAAGAAGGGCGTAAGAGCCAGGTGTGGTGTCTGTAATTCCAGCACTCAGGAGGCTGAGGCAGGATCGCTGGACTTTTAAAACCCCCTCCTAGCTTACAGAGAGACCCTAAGGAAGGGATGGGCACCTAGGATTGCAGCCCAGAGTGCTGCCCTTGCCTGGCTTTAATGTGCAGGCTCTAGGTTAGGACACGGTGTCTGTGGTAGTCAGGGGTACAACAGCAGCAGTGGAGAATTTCCTGTTCTCCGCAGAAGACTGGGGTTCAGTTCCCAACTCCCACATCGGCTCACACGACCCTCCGAAACTCCACTGTCAGGAACCTAACACCCCCTCCTGACCTCGGAGTTCAGCAGCCACACACACACACAGTGCACAGACATACATACATGCTAGCAAAACACCCCTGCACATAAATCTAAAAAGGAAGGCAGGATTAGGACTGGAAATCAGCCTTGGGTCTGTAATAAGTTTGTGGCCAGCCTGAATGACACAGGTACAACTCCAAAAAGTAAATGACAGCTGGGCGTCAGTGGCGGTGATGTTACCGTGGTCTTGGCGGCCCGAGGCAACAGCAGTGCACGCCTTTAATCCCAGCATTCCAGAGGCCAGCTTGGATGACACTGGGACAACTCAAAAAGGAAGTGACTGTACCTGGTCTTTACTCCCTGTGGTAAAAGTTTCACAGTGAACATTTGAGCCTGGCTGAAGGGCTGCAGACGTAGCTCAGTGGTTAAGATCAAGTACTGTTCCTCCAGAGGAACTGGTCCCTGTCCCCAGCACCACATCAGGAAACTCACAACTGTGATTACAGCTCTGGGGAATCCAACCCTCCTCTGGCCTCCACAGGCAGAACTAAGTATGCACAAACCCACACCCAAGAGGCATGTATGCACGTATTTTAAAGTAAAATAAGTGGTGGGGGCTTAGTGCTGCACGGCTCTAATCCCAGCAGTTGGGAGGCACAGGTAGGCAGCACCTTTACATTGCACTCATTAGGCAGAGGCAGGTGGATCTCTGAGTTCTAGGCCAGCCTGGTCTACAGAGTGAGTTCAGGACAGCCAGGGCTACACAGAGAAACCCTGTCTCGAAAAACCTAGAATAAAATAATAAAATCTAGAGACAGAAACCAGGGGCTGGAGAGAGGGCTCAACCTGGGCCACCTGTGACTCCGTGGACACCAGACATGAATGTGATGCATAAACAGCCATGTAAGCAAAATGCTCATACAGATAAATAAAAGTCGGCCAGGCATGGCTGCTCGTGGCTGTAATCCCAGCATTGGGGAAGCTGAGATTAGAACCGACAGAGTCGGGGCTGCATAAGGAGGCCTGACTCAGCCTGCATTCCATATGTACTGCGGCTGTCTTAAGCCCTTCCCCAAAAGAGGAACAGGAAGGTGTCTATTTGGTGGCAGTCTAGCATGCAGAAAGCCCTGAATTAAAAATAAGTGAATGAATGATTCTCTGCTGGTCATGGTTCCTCACCCAAGTACTAGCACTCAGAAGTCTGAGGCAGGAGAATTTCTATGGTTCTAGGCCAGCCTGAATCACAAAGCACGCTTACCTAGTGTGCAAGAGATAAGTCCTGTGTCTGTGCTAAAAACTGTGTAAAGGTTTTCTAAGCTGCACATTCTAGGGGCTGGAAGGGTGCCTCAGTGTCAGTAGCAAGGGCTACTGTTAGAGAGGGCCCAGGGTCTGCTCCCAAGGCCTCGGGAAGCTCATAGCTCATCCTCCAATTGATCTGACATCCGCAACCGTGTATGTCTACATACATGTGGGCACACATGTGTAAGATAGCTCTGCGGTTATACTGTTTTTACAGATGCTTCCTTCTGTTTCCAGCACCCCTATCGAGTGGCCCACAGCCATTGTGCCTCGACCCCAGGACAAGTCCAAGTATCTGGCCTTCTCCGGCATTTGCACTCCAATGTACTTACCCACACACAGATACATATGTGTACTGAAAATATTTTAAATCTTTTAAAACACACACAGGTACATATGTGTACTAAAAAATATTTTAAATCTTTTAAAATTTACTTCTGTAGGTGTTTTTTGTTTTGTCCTGTGTGGACATCTGTACATATGTGTGCAATGCCTTTGGAGGTCAGGAGAGGCTATGATTGTTGGGAACCTAACTAACCCTGGTCCTCTGCCAGCCCAGCAAGGGCTCTCAACCGCTGAGCTATATCTCCATTCCCTAAATTTATTTTAAGTGTCTTGACCCAAACTGCCCCTCCACGGTAAATGCTCAGCTCTCTCTGGGGAATTTTCTCCACACCTGCTTGTTCTCAGGTGCACTCTCTTCTTGCTTTACGTGCATTGGCGTGAAGGCGTCAGAGCCCCTGGAACTGGAGTTACAGGCAGTTGTGAGCTGCCGCGTGGGTGCTGGGAATTGAACCCAGGTCTTCTGAAAAAGCAGGCACTTAACCACAGCCCCAGTACTACTAGTGCTAGTGCTCTTGAGCTCCTTAAGCAGCAATGTTATTGATGGTACCCAGATCCCGGGAGTCGCCTTTGTTTTCTACGGGGGGGGGGGGGGGGGGGATCAGCTTGCTGAGAATTAGCAAACTCTCAGACAATTGTGACTCATGAGAGAGAAGGTAAGGGACCACTGGCACTAGCCCAGGCTGTGACACAGGCTGTGACAAGTTCCCATGCCAGGAATGCCAGGGGCTTCCCCGTCATTCCGGGGTGTGGTCATCTTAATTGCATTTACAAATCTAGCCTTACCTACCTAAATCTCACTGCTCCTGTACCTTCACTTGGGGGAACTCTCTGCTTCCTGTTCTCACAGTGTGACTGGGATGTGGGTGAGAATTTCCACTTGTTCTGTCCACAGTAGTTTTCTCCTGGCTCCACATTTGCTCCAGCTAAAGTATACTTTTAGATTTTAGGGATCCTCCTGCCCTCCTTGCTGACATCTTACTCTACATTGCTCAGCGGGGAGGGAGGGAGGCCAGGGGAGGGGAGGGACGGAGAGATTATATTTTTCAGGGCTATAGGATGAGAATGTCTGTGAATAATATCAAATCAACACTTGTGAACTGTCGAATCCACTGGTGCACAGGCAGAGAGAGATCATGTCAGTTTCTTGTGTTAGGTTCATACCGGTAAACAGCAAAGCTGGAGAGGTGACTCAGCGGTTGCTCTTGCAGAAGGCCAGGGTTCAGTTCCCACATCAGGTGGCTCCCAACACCTGAACTCCCAGCCCCGGGGCTCTGCCATTCTCC